TGGGGATGCGAATGTCGATGGCTGCTGGCCTTATCGCTGTAGCTCTGAGAGTACGAAAGCGAGGAGTCACCGTCCCGCTCCGAGCTCTCCTGTAAGGGGAGGACCACGTGTGAGTGGGTTTGTATCTATGGAGTGAGTGTGGAGTCCACACCACTTACCGCATAAAGCCGCTCCATGGTGTTCTTCTTCTCGCGCAGCCGGTCGAGCAGTTCGTCCTTCGACATGATGCCATTGATCTCCTGGTCTGTACACTTCTCCAGCGACTCAATCGACGAGTTCAGAAAGCTGATGAGGAAGTCATGCTCCACCTGCGGGGGCGAGGATGAGGAAAAGGAGAGACAAGAGTGAAGGAAAGTGTACCACAATTCTACTCTTCATTCGCATTCGGAATCTCATTTGCTTTCCGCTTACTGCACCACTCGAGACGCACTTAAACTACATCTTTGAGTACTCTGCCACACTAGAGTGTCCCCCTTGCCCGTGCCACTCATGCCACTCACTCACCTTAATCTTCATTACGTAATTTGATGGGACAAAACCAATGTTTCCCTTCATGCTGACCACCTGCCACCAATTTCGCTGGCGGGCGGATGTCTGGTACAGAATGAAGTACTCGCCCTCATCGAAGCTAATGGTCTTGGGATAGACCGCCTGAAAGTCGTACAGGGCCTTGAGCATCTCGATGCCGTTGCCTACACCAAGGGAGAGACCTTCCGACGTTCCTGCTGTTGCTGTTCTGCTGCTCCTGATGGTGCTCCTGCGGCGGGAGATGTGGGAGCTGCGCCAGCTGCAAAATGTAATTGAAAATGGAAATGGTTTTGCAAAAGGAAATGAGTGATTAAATAGTCTTAGTCTTATTACGGGGCAAATCAAAATTATATGAAATTTGGATGAGGGCGTCGGCACACCTATACGCACACACACACACACACACAACACAAGCACAGGAAACCAACTGCCTGCAGGCCGCAAGGAAAGTCCACTGCCGAGGGCCAACTGGCAACTGCCGACTGGTGACGGGTATATGGGATGGAGGCCTTTGGGACTCTGTTGTCTGTGCACTGCAGCAGCACAAATACCCATGCACTCTCTCTCTATCTCTCTCGCACACACACACACACCCCAGTAGCACGTAGATCGCGATTGTTGCAACAGCAACATACAAGAATGTGGCGGTGGGGTGGTCGGAAAAGGGTTTTCTTTATTACAGCGGAAGAGGAAAATGCAATTTTCATATATTACTTGCTTCTCGCTTTTGTCTGTCGTTCTCTTAGGGGTCTCTCTGGCAGGTTTCTGTTTCTTCCTGTTTTTTTTTTTTTGATTCCGTGCAGCAACACGCCTTGCGCTTTTGATCCTATTCAACTTTTATTGTTTTCCTTGGAGCTCACACAAACACACGCACACACCCACACACACCGACACATGCGTGAAAGCGCACGTGCCTGTGAAAAGCTTATGCGCGCTTCGGCACCACTTCGGCTTCGTGCTGCAGGAAAATTTGTGTTAAAATTTCAACACACGAGGAAAATCCGTTTCAAAACAGAACGCCCACCCCACTGCCTCGCCCACTCTCACCACGCGCGCGCGTTCTCCTTCTCTTTCTCTCTCTATTTTTTGCCCAGAGAACGTTTAACGGTAAAACCAACACCAACAGCCAGAGAATAAAAACCGGACACGGAACGGAACTGGTTCACAATGGAAACCGCAAAAAGGGGCGCTCAACGATAATAATTTGATGTTTTATTTCCCCTGGTAGAGTGTATGGTATTTAAATATACCATACATATGTAAAAACATTCTACCCCTTTTTGTCAGGCTCTTATTTCGTTTGCTAAGCCAGATCATAGAGACCATGCCAGACCATAGAAGCGATCTTTCGCAATATTCGCAAGAAATTGCATAAGAAGTTTCATACATATATACATACATATGTATACGTTATAAAGGGAAGTATTTGGAGTCATGCAGGTTCATCTTTAAAGCATGAGTCTTCATTCTCTTTATTAATTAAATTGATGGTGGAAAAGATTGGAAGAGGCGCGCCATTCTCCATCGTGCGTGAGTGCTGTTGGAACTAATTCCGGAACTAGTACATATACCGTTATAAGCGGCTGCTGTTAGGCTCCCATGCGGCACACACACACACAAATTAGCAGGACACCTTTGCATAAAAATGTACATACATACAAAATATACATACATACAGAGTATCTATGCTAATATGACAATGGAGAAACACTTAAAAAAAAAACAACAAAACGAGGTAGAGGATTGGGAATGGGAATTGGACGCCTTTCCGTTCCTCATATATTCACTTACCCATATTTTGAGAGCACCTTTTGCTGAAACTTACTGTTGGCTCGTTATTGGCCCTCCGCCTGTTGTCCCTGGTCCTGCTGCGGCTCCTGCTGCTGTTCCTGCTCTGCTGACGTCGACGGCCCAAGGACGTTTGCATATATTTAAATATTTTCGCGAAGCTTTTTCTGCTTCCGCTCCTGTTGTTGGTTTTAGACTTTTGTTTATGGGCGTTTTTTACGCTCTACCTTTGTCCTTTACCACTAGTTGGTGCGGCCAACTTTTAGCAATAACCGTAAATTGATTGGCACGCCCTTATTCTCGCACTGGTTGCTGCTGCTGCTGAGCTGATGCTTCTGCTGTGCTGCATGAATAGGCAAGTGCGACTCTGTGTTAACGTATGTAGTTGATTAATTACGATGCTATGCTGTTGCTGCCTCGTCTCGTCGGATGCACTTGTTTCTCTATGTGCGTCCCACGGCTCAGGCGGGGGTGGGAGCTTGTCTGTCTGCGCGGTAGGGGCTGCGGGCTGGAGAGTGGCTCGTCACCTTCATGATTCGGCTGCTCTCGTGCTGGGCACGATATGTTAATATAAGGTAGGGCAGTTCATTTGGTATCCAAAATTCTTCCAGAATTATTTGCATTCCACACTTTGCTGGGCTGGATCGGCAAACAAACTATAGGATCGAGCGAACGGGACAGCCCTGCCTCAGCAGAAAGTACACACCCAAACAAGAACGAACATACATATGTATGTATATCTATAAATGTTTGCAAACACACACAACAAACACGCACAGAAAAGGTTAAAAGAACGCGCGTGACATCTGAGTCAATCACAGCACCAAGAGAAAAAGTGTTGCCGGAGGACAGTGTCGTGTCTTGTTCAGGCCATGAACGTGATCATCCCATCCCTAGCGGTCACGGATGTCAACAAATTATTATCCCATTGAAAAGTATTTCAACTCATACAAAAATAAACCGCAAATTCACACACACATGCACTCACGGTAACGGTTGTTTAAGTTTTGTTTTTATTTTCCAAAGCGAAATGTCGCAGACGGTGGACGACTATTCCCAATACAAGTAAACTTTTCTTAGTAAAGCAATGCCGCACCGTCAATAAATTTCGCTTACGTTTCATCCAGTTGTTGCACTGGATTGATTGAATTAAATTAAACAGCTAATTTTGACGCCGTCATATGAGAAACAACATTGATTTCCACTTAGTTAATCATTTTTATGTTTTGTTTTGTTCTTTGTTTTTCTTTTCCTCAGTGTGACCGCGGATTTATGCCAAAATATACCGCCTGACCCTCAAAAATATAGCCAAAATATACCTTCTCTTTTAGCTAATATACCGTAAAAATCTCGATCCCGTTTGGTAACTGCAAAAATACCATAAATTGCGATATTAATTGAGATGGATTTTAAATTTAGTGACAATTTTCGCAAATCTAATCAATATACAAAAACAGTTAATAAAATCGATCATTGCATGGATGACAAATATTTCATCATATCCCAGCAATGTGCGAGGCCCTTAAAAAAAGCTTGGCCGTTTTAATACTGGGGCCATACCTTGCCATTACAGTCTCCCGGACTCTTTTTTTGAGCTGCAACGATAGTTGGAACGATAGGGCGGTTATAACCTCTCATTTTGAAACAAGCCTATTTTCTATTGATTTTTGCAAAACAGATTTTATTTTCCTTCAGTATTTAGTATGCAGTTGGGGTACATAGCTGTTTTTTGCTGTTGATTTATTTAATAAAAATACACATTTGATCTGATCTCGCTCTTATAAACTGGCTATCAAACTTGAATAAAACCTTTTGCTTGTATCCAGTGTTTGTATATAGTTTAGAGTTATATAGTTTTTGATTGATTATAATTGCAATCCCATCTCATGTCCCTGCACCATCTTCTCCGCTTCGCAATTCTCTATTTAGCCTAGACTTAGTCCTTCCCTAATGCATTCGCTTATCTTATCGACAACGATAACTATGGTTTAAAATATATGTAAGTACAATTCATGCATTGCAGAAGGCATTTTATCAAAAGTTTCCCATGTCCAAATATCCCCCCATACTTTCAGTGCTTGCTTGTACATAGTACATAGTATATAGAGAATATTGTGGGTATTGTGCTCTGTTCGTCGCCTTCTTCCCGCCTCTGTTTGTTTGTTTGTTTAGCTTCTTCGGTACAATTAAGATTCAACAATGTTTCCTTTTTATTTGCTTACTTGTGGTCACAAAAATTGCAATAATCATTAATCAAATGGTTTTAATAATAGTGAAACAATCACGTAAATTATAATAGCTTAAGTTTCTCTCACATTTTCCCCGTTTCGGTTTCTATGTTTAGTATGTTTGTATGTGTATAGTTTAATAACAGCAGGCCACTTTTAGACATATGTGTGTATGTGTGTTTTTGTTTTTGTATAGTATAGTATTCATATATATATATATATTGTATATTTATATTAAAAAAAAACAACATTACATTGTACTTGCATTCATAGATCAATAGGAATAATAAATATATATAGATTTATAAACGAAACAAAAAAAAAAAAAAATATATATGCTTTAACCTGGGCCATTTTTTGTGTATCTATTAAATGTACTTTTCTTGTTATTACTATTATTATATTTTATTGCATTTAGTTAGAGTTTATTGTATTTTATTGTATGTATGTGGTTGGAGGAATTTTTTTTGGAACGGCACTTCGGTTGAGATTTTTGATTTTCCATTTAGTTGTGTTCTTGTTTCACTTTTTTGTCCACTAATATTGCAATCGTTTAATGTTTATGAAGGAGGGAGGTAGGGAGGAAGGTATCGGATGGCCACAAAGAAAGAAAAACCATAATAAAAGGGAGAACATTGTTGCTATAATTTTGTTGTTTGTCCAGGATTTTGGGCCACTCTAGTCACTAGACTTTCTCATTGGCATTCACCTTGCTTCTGCTTTTGCTTTTGCGCTCTGTCACACATCCAATGCCCTGCCCTGCCCTACCTTGCCACATCAGGCGATGGCCACAAAACATTTGTCCACAATTAGGATTTGGTGCACACTAATTGTTAATTGATAAATTATGCTACAGAAATAATATTGATAAGTGTTGTGTGTGGTGTGTGTTTGTTTAAATGTGCCACCAAACAATCCGATCCAGAGAACCAACACGACAGAGACAGACCCACAAGACGGCATCGAATCACATGCGCCTGGCCGGCCTACGCGTCATTGAAGCGTTCTCGGCGCGCTGCTGCTTCTGTTGCTGCTTATGCTTATGCTGATGCTTCTGTTGCTGCTCCTTCGATCATTTGTCATTGTCCTCGCAGCAGCCATTCTTGGCCAGCTGCTTCTGCAGGGCAGGCGGAATGAAATCTTTCGTCTTGGTCTTGGAATGATAGCCTTGGCCGAGCAATGCCGGCTCCACATGCTTGCCCTCCTGTATGCCCTGGATGAGCTTCAGCATGTCATAGTTGATGCCCTCAGTAACCACGGAATCTTGCCTGTAAAACAGATTGGATTGGTTCGTTTAGCCACACAGACACTGTGATTGTTTATGAATTTACTCACTTGTAGTCCGGATGGTTGAGCACTTGCTGGCGCATCCATGTGGCCGTTGTGATCAGCTCACCGGCGGCACGCTTCTCAATGAAGCGCAGATACTGTTCGATGGTGCAATGGGTGTCTGTGTCCACCTCCATGGACTGCAAATAGCTGCGGATCAGTGGCACCAAACCAGGAAAAACATTCGACTGTGGAGATACAAGGATTTAGATTCAGGATTCAGGTTTCAGGATTCTTCTCTTTTTTTTTAGCTTACCTTTCCGTTGAAGATCTCATTGATTGTCAGCAGCTGGAACAGCTCGTTCTCCTCATCATCTGTGTCGGTGTGATCGCTGTCCACACCATTGGTGGTGGTGGTGGAGCCGCCATTTGAGGTGCCATTTGTGGTGCCATTTGAGGTGCCATTTGAGGTGCCATTGGTCGTGGCCTTTGGGCCATGGCCATGACCATGTCCGTTTCCATGTCCATTCATTTTCGCCGAAGTGCCATTGTTGAAGGGCTCCTCCTCTCTTTCATCCTCGTTGCCATTCCCATTGCCATTGGTGGACATGCCGTTGCCATTCTCTGCCGCTTCGTCTGTCTGCCAGCCATTGATGTGGACCCTACCCTTGGCCTGGGCCAGGGCCGCCCTCTGTTCGGTGGTCTTTGATGATTTGCGGAACCAGAATTTCTCCGCACGGCAGGCGTCGCGCTTCTGTGCCGTCTGCATGTTCTCGTCCACCTTGCTGATGGGCGTCAAAAAGTTCAGCTGGTACGAGAGAATGACACGGGTGAGCAGGACAACGAAACAGACGATGGCAGCATTCTCAAAGTCACTGATCTGCGCCTCACACGGCCGGAACTCCACGCGCCATCCAATCGAACTGTTAGGGTGGCGGCGGCTTGAAGCGCATGGTCTGCCAGTTGGTCGACTGAATGTTCTCAAAATGATCGGTGTCCTCGTTGTCGTTCTGGTGGACCTTCTCGCTGAACAGCGACACCGTATCACGAATGAAGAGATGGGCCACATGCTGCGCCAGCAGATGGTCAATGCCGCCCTCGACCAGACGGTTGTACACCTGCTTGTCATAGGTTATGGGCACGTCGTTGTACTTGGCCCCCTCTGGGGACAGGTACGAGTCGATGGAGTCGTACCGCGACTTGGCAATGCGGAACTTTTGGTTCTCGAGCGGCGCCAGGCCGCGCTCCTCCTCGGTGCGGCAGTCCACTGAAGAGCTGATCACGTTCCAGCGGCAGTCCGACTCTGTGAGGTAGCCGCGATAGATGGGGCTGGCCGCCGTCAGGGCCAGCATGATGGGGCACAGGGGGGCCAGCTGATCGTACAGGCGCCGCGCCTCTGTGATGTTGCAGGCCTGAAAGGTGAGCTGCAGGCAGCAGCAGCCCATGCCAAAGCCCATGGCGTCCAGCAGCACAACATCCGGTTCGCCTGGCGGTGCCCCCTCCACGGGCAGCTTTGTCTTGGCGTCTTTGAACACTGCAGAGGATGGAGGATGAAGATCAGTGAATGCCTTTTATCTTGGCCAGGCGCAGACGCTTACCCTTCAGCTTGATGGAGACCTTCTCGCCGCGCCGCATGCGGATGTTGCGGGTGAGCGTCTTGAAGCGTGGATGTCCCGGGAATATGGCCTCGTCGGGAAAGTAAAGGGACCGAGCTGAACTGAGGGGATCCTCTGGACGGGGCTGGGCCAAGGGGTATGTAAAGTTTGGAGATCCGAGGCGCGGAAAGTTTGTGATCGACATGACGCACTCGTCCTTGGCCAGCAGCTCGGTGACCTCCTCGCGACGATAGCGCATATTGGCCTCCACCAGATTGAAGTGGGCCATCAGTCCGCCAAAGGGCTTGCCGGGCGTACCCTCAATCATATAGGCACCGTATTCGGGACGCCACAGCGACTTTACGCCCTTCGGATCGGCCATCTCCTTTTCGTTCAGCTGAGCCAGCAGATCTTGGGCGATCAACGCCACGCGGGCCACTTTTTTCTCCTCATCGAACTTGACAATGATGTACTCCACCTCGTCGCCCCACTTGAGGATGTCTCCCTGGCGATCCTTCAGTCTATGGTAGAGATTTATGAACTGATTCACGCCATGCTCGCGCACATGATCGGCCAGCGCCTTGGTCTCCTCCCAGGAGAGTGGACTGCCCTCGCTTAGTAGACCCATAATATAAACTGCAATTAAAAAGGAAAAAATACATACAGATTAGGGATTGTGTGGATCGAAGAAGGGGCGCATGAACCTCTGTATTATTCTGGAGGTCTGTGTGTGGTCTGTGGTGTGTGCAGGACTCCCCAAAGTTTTCCTCTCAATACTTCAGGCGATTTGAAACCGATCCCAAAACAAAACTGAATTTTGAACGACTACTGATTTGAGCAACACAGTAATCTCGAGTCGTTCGAGTATTTAGGCCAATGGAATGGACGAATGAAGAACTTAGCACAGAGAGCGAGGGAGAGAGTGAGTGCGGTGGTTTCGCTTCACGAGCAATCACTTGAGTAACGAGTAGAAAAAGAAACGAGTACCAGAAATCGACAGACGTTGATTCGCTGTAAAAATGTGCCCTAAGCGAACGGACACATTCGTTTTGACTAAAACGAGCGATTCGTCAGAAAGTGCTTTGCGGCATTTTCAATTTGGTTTAAAATTATGCAAATATGATACAGAACGATAGGAACTATTGAGAGCAAGTAAAGTTATATATTCTGTGCATTTTGTTTTCGGTATAAGGCATGGCACAAGTGATACCCCGTAAACGCTGTTGGGTAGGACTTTCTGTGAAGCCTTCATTCAATCAAATGATCTACGTAATATCCGTACAAATACGTGTATGTGTACATTGTACATACATATGTATATTGTAAGTGCTAGAATATGAATGTGGATGGGATGTACTTTGTTTGCTTCTTGGTCTTGACATTCGGTCGAATTTACAACATTTGACTCAATTAATTGATAAGCGAGAGTCCGAGAGGCGAGAGCCGTAGAGAGAAGCAACCGAATAGTAATCAAATAATTGATAAGCCAACAACCTTTTTTACTCCTGTGTGTTTCCCTGAACACAAACAAACATGCCTGCATGTGCCACACAAAATCAAATATACACTTAGGTGTTCAAATAAACGAATATACATACATACATACATACATATGAACGTACATACATGTCTCTAAAATATTCTTATTGTATATATTTAGCCCCGGACGACGACAGGTTGCTGTGCGCCGCCACTCGAAACTGATTGAATCATACTATTCCACTTCTCGCATTGTTGTTGTGTGGGGGGGGAGGGGGAAATCGGAAATTTTGATCATTTCGTTGTTGTCGCTGAGAGTTTCCAAGTGAGAAACTTGGCCGATTGTGGCGCAGATTTACGATCAGCCACTTGGGAGCACCGCACACACACACAACATCGATCAAGTTGTGTCTCGTCGAATGCGCAAACACTTCACTTATTTTTTCACTTCAACATCAACATCAAAACGGAAATAAAAACAAAGCCAAACGATGGAGAATTACACCTGCAAGTGGAGACAATCATGTGGCATGTCGATTCTGGCCACACAAAATCCATACAAATTACATGGGAATGTGGTCGAATTTGGCTTAAATTTGACAGCTCTAACAGAATCTTGAAACGATTGTTTTTTTTTAATTAAAAATCGGCAGATCGAAAGAAGTCTCTCAAGGACTCTAAAAATCATTAACTCAAAGCAGCATTTAGTTAAAAAAAAAAAAACTTCGAACCCTCAAGACGTTTTTAGTCTCTGACAATACTTGAAAAAACCTCTTGAAAGACCTCCAATATCCTTTAGTTTTTTAAGTTCCCTTAGCTTTGTTCAAACTCAACTCAGAGAATCCATTATGGATAGTTTTCAAACAGCTTTAGAACATTATTACAAAATATCCCTACAGGATATTCTTGAGCAAAAATATCACTCACACAAACCGTGTTTAAATCACTTTAAAAAACATTGAAGCACAAAGGGAAACTTATGTTTGAATAATATTATGGGATGGTTGATAGATATACCTTTCTGTTTTGGTTTTGGTTTCGGTTTCTTTCTTTTTCACTTTTACTTTAATTCCAAATTGGGGAATTATTATTTCTAGTTGATATTGAAGTTGTAACTAGATTCTAGCTCCACGGCCGAAAGCGGACTAACTTTATACTCGGCCATACTCCAGCTTATTATGTGGCACGATCCACCGATCCACCGATCCACGAAGCACCCGAACCATCGATTGCGACAACGAACGACGGCCGACGGACGACATCCACCATTGATGAAAAACCAATTGTAGATCTGAGTGGAAACCAACCAACAAAACGGACCAGATCGTAGCGATATCTATGGGGAAGGGGGCTCATAAATGATCGTCCGACTGTCGCGACGCGAAGCGTCGTCAACTTGAGAGTCGTCAACTGCATGGGTATTTCGGATTGGGGATTGGGGACTGGGGATCCACGGGTCTCCACACTCCACTTCAAATCTATCGAGTGCCTTTCGAATTATTCGCCATGTTATTTATTATATTTAATAATATTCGGACCTGGACTCTGGAAGGGTTTATTATATACATATTTTGTTATTCATATTTATAGATTTGTATAGATTTACAACCATGGCAACCATAAAGATTGTTGCTGGGATGGAATAGGTATGGGTATGGGGATCGGAACGGACCGGATCGGATCGGATCGACAAGTACATTCGTTTGAAAAACAATACGCCAAAAAAAAACGGGGGCATTTGCATTGTAAATAACTGCCAATCAATCGGTTGGGTTTGGCAATTTTATAATATTATTAAATGCGTGGTGGAGAGGAAACGCATAGATTTCAATTCAATTGCCGACAGTATATCATGGCTACAATATATTGTTTTGAGTTCTTTTGTTTCTGTGCGATTCGATTCTAAATCCGTATATGATTCAACGTCGCATGGTCGCATTGTCGCATGGTCGCACCTCGCGACTATCATCCGATACACAGATGTATTTCGTTACAGTTTCCATCGAGGAACAGTCCGTGCCACATCTACGAGTATTTCCGCCGTACAAAAACAAAGTGTGCTCGTTTTCTATTTACTCAATCACTCTAATCATTCTGTGATTCTTGTCACAGGTGCAAGAGCCTTTCCACTTTGAATTATAGGTAAAGCAAATGCCATTGAACAGCTGTGTATCAATCCAATCCAACCATCATCTGATGTATTTTACAAGGTATTTCCTATGAATATCTCAAATGCAACGCAAATCCTTTCATATTCAAATCTCACATTCAATCAGATTAATTCAAGGAAATTATGCCGTACAGAGAATCAACATCATTCATTGGCACTTGCTGCATCGATGCAGGGATTAATGGTCCACCTGTACCGGTACCGGTTTAATTTTTGTCTTTATCTTTGGTTCGTCGTTGAGTCAACTCTTGATCTTTGGCCACTCTCTTATCAAAGAGAACCTCATTCAATGGAGGGGGAAGTCAAAGAATTCAACGTGCAAATGGATCACGAGTGCTCTTTCCTGGAGCAAGAGAGATACTTAGAGCAGGCCCAAGAGGCCCCGCAAAGTGTGTGGGGGTGACGAATGCCAATGCAAATGCGCTTAGATAAGTTTCAATTGCACAAAAGCAGCATACAATGATACGTTCAATACATATGTATGTATGAGTGCGAGTACAGCGTATATATACATACATACATTTATACATATACATATACGGAGTATACGACGTTAGATAAGATGGCCCAAGTGCCCCTCATTTGGTAATTGCATTGCGCGCCGCGCCGCGCCACGGGGCTTCGAGAGATTGAGAGACTTTGGAATGCTTACGGAATCTACTACGTTCTGTCTACCTCCCATTCTGGATTAAGCAAATTGCTCGATTTTAAGCCTCCCATCATTACCATTACGTTATCCAGCCCCCTGTCTTATCTGCAGTCGCATTTCCATTGCAATTTGCAATTTTATGTATAAACAGATTTTGCTTTAAGGTTTCCTTCGGTTTCAAAGTTCCTCTGCTTCTCTTCGTCGATTATTATATCACTTGAAGAGGGAACAGAAGGAACATAAAAGCAAATCCACCTCGCACCAAAATCCTCTCCGAGTGAGTCTCTCCCATACGCACTCTCGCACCCAAACAAGTACAGAAATGGAATAGGGAAATGACAAGAATAACGGCTGGCCATGCAACGGACACAAGGAACATAAGAAAAAGAGCATATCATAAAGCAGAATATCATACACTGAGATCAATCTGTATTTTTATTCCTAGATCATTATATTTATATAAATATAGTAGGATGTTAATTAAAGTTTCACACCTTCACATCAGAATTAGAAAAGTGCCCAAATGTTGAATGATAATTTCAAATTTCATTTCAGCCATTTAGTCTGCTAAGAAGAGCAATCCGCAAGCCATCGGAAGCATCGGAAGAAATAATTCTCGATTTTGTCTTTAATTAAATTCTATACTGAACATGCGAATACGATTTTCATTCGCCTGTTTTTCTTTCCTTCTTGTGTGTGCGTGCCATTTGTTGCTTCATTTTATTTTTACTTTTCTTTTGCTTTCACTAATTTGTTAAATTCGTTTTGTAAATTGTTTTATTTTAGCACATTTGCCTTAATTTCTACGTCACTAGCCGCCCCTCACTGGTCTGTCCCATTGTCAGCAGTGGGAGATATTACCCACATGTAGCATGTGGCACGTATACCTCTCGCTCCGACTCTCTCTATGTCTCTATGTCGCTGTCCCTCTTGCGGGTGTGTGCTATGCTCCTGACCAACGCAATTGAAATTACCGAAGGGCAAGCAGTAATGCGAGTACGAGTATCAACAATTATTTGACACTTTTTTTCGCTTGCGCGTTCCTTGGTATTTTTTGCTTTGTCATATGAAAACCGTAAAACGGGAGCCAGAGTGATATCAATGAAGGGGATTCTTCAGTGGGGGGCTTCGGTTTCAAATCGAGCCGAACGGAGCGGATCGGAGTGATGATTCACATATTGATTGGGGGTCCCTTGGACTTAAAACAGAAATGAAAGCAATATTTTGCTGAGCCTATAGCCTTCTGAGCTGTTGTTTCATAGACAATCTGATCTTCTTCTTTTGGCAATCTATCAATCATAAAATAAACGGTGCTGGCAACCCTAAAGCAAAACAAAAAATAAAAAACCACAACAGATAGCAAATCGAATGCGGAAGGAAGGAAAGCGTAAAAAGCTAAAACGGGGGGAAAAGCACAAACGAAAGTACTCATATGAGTAGTAAAAACTACGAGATTTAATAGCAACTATTGCTGCAATGCCTTCTGCCTCTGTCTCAATCTTTTTTCTCAGGGTCAAATATATATATAGATATATGTACATATGTGCATACATGTATATAAACATTCTATAGACAGACAGCAAGAGATGTAGATGCAGTATCGAAAATGAAATCGGGAAATGGGAAATCAAACAAACAATTACAGTGTTACGGTGTTTTGCACAGGTCGTGAATTTGTTACATTCATTTTGCGGAATGCATCGCGTCGCGACATAGGCACTTGCTTGATCGTTGCATAGGAAAAATAATACAAGATAACGTACACACAGATTACGTATACGCCGCTCATAAAACGGTCGTCGCACACAAAAATTGCGACGTAATAAATTTTGTTTTGGCCATGATACAGGCCCCGCCACCACCCTCTACACCAGTCCCTCCCTCACAAAGCCCAACAGCCAAAGAGGGGCTGGCGAGTGGCATGGGATGTAAATTCTGCAAAATGTATAGAATACTCATAGGAGTATTTGGTATTTCCTTTGCCATGTGAATGGAGGGCGTGCGACAGAAACAAATTTGATTATGCATTAATAATTAGATAATTGATTGAGAATCGATCGACCACAGACTATAGGTTATTGCAGGGCTATGATTATATAATGGGGCTAAACGAGGGCTATTCCATGGATATTGCATTAGACAGTGACCCCAATCGACCCCAAAGCTCGTGAATGATACAAAAGCAACATACATGTCGTGTGCATGATGCTTAGACTTGAGTCTCGCTGATAAGTGTTTTTTTTTTATGTTGTTGGGCCGGCTCTCTGCTATTCTAGTTCGAAACTCGGACTTGTTTAGTTCTATGATTACGAGTTCAGAAAATAAATGAAAAGTAATATGAGTAACGAGCAGGAAAGAGCTCGAGGGTATTGCTCTCCATCATCTTTTTGAATTGCTTAGCGGAATCTTTGCAATAAGTTTTAACGATTTCATTCGATACTCTGCCTCCGATTTCCGTGTTGCCAATTATTGAAACAAATGAGTAATTTTAATAATGGCGCCACCACCAAATGTCCCATCCACTGAAAGTGAACTGACACGAACACGTGCTTGTAAATTCTTTAATGATTTTCAGTGCTTTTTTGCTCATTCTTCTGGCTCATTGTGTGGCATGCACTTGTGCAAATAAATGCATTTGTGTACATATACACTACATACATACATATATATGTACATATATTGTTGTTGGAGTGTAGTTTCGTATATTAATTTGAGTCAGCCACTGTTTAATTAGCAAAACCGTCTGTCGATTGTCGTCTATCGTCCGTTGGGGGCATCTGACATCTGCGTTTTGCAATTGCGTAAACTGAATGTGCAAACAAATTGCAAACAAACAAACAAATACGAGAAAGTGTGACGGGGGACTGTTGTGGGGGAATGGCATCCACAGAAGAAGAATCCCCCGCACTCAATGACGCACTCGCACAAAAAACCAGATCTCTTCTGACGAACAGAAAGCTAGCAGATCGTCAGCGTTATCCAGTGAGAACACTTGGCCGGGGGCATTGTGTTACACGGCGGTTAATGGTAATCCGTTGTCCGGAATCTTCTCATGTGACACAATACAGCTGTGTTTTGCTTCCAGATGATATAGTTTTTTTGTTTTTGTTAATTTAGTTTGCTAATTGAAAAACACTCGGCTGTTTATTTTGGTGTCAACAAAAACAACACATCTCCAAGTGTCGTGGCGCCACAAAACACTCTTTAAAGATGGTGGTTCCTCGATCCAAGCGGTTCATTGTAAGCCAAATTGGTTGGAGCTATGTATATTCATCCTAATTTTTGTGTTCCAAATTCCAATTGAGGAGGCACTGTTCTCGGCTTCACTCGTTATCTTTCATAGTTTCTCCCGCCACTAAATAAGGTTTATGGCTTCAGTTTTCTGTTTGTGTTTGTGTTTCTGTTTCGGTTTCTGTTTCCGAAACGTAAAAGAAAACAATTAATCAATCATCTTAATGCAAGTGCAAATTCCACAGACAATTAACAGAATAACAACAAATGTGACTTATCGCATTTGTTTGCTTAAATTGCATTTCCAGGAAACGACATTCAATTAGTAAGGACGCATTGCGTATCGGGTTATCTTGACACGTGAAATATGTTCGAGTATTCATTAAGTTGAATGTACAGGATCACCTCTAAATGCGGCGTTGAATCGTGGCACAACAGTGTTCCCATAAGCGAATGGACACATGTCGAAAGTGTGCTGGAATGGAACAGCCTGTGGTAGCAGTTTTGGGGTCTCTCTCGTTCTTCGCATGGAAGAGATCTCGAAATCTCTTAGTCATGAGTCACAATGAGTAAGCTTGAAATTTTTGGAAAACCGATAAGCAAATGAATTTTGAACAGCTCAGAACTCCAGGAACTTCTCGAACGCACGGAAATCCCATAATGGATAACAGAGGGTTTTTTATTAAAAACTCATCATCAAGAAACGAATGCAATTCAATTTATTATTCTAATAATAACATTCCACATAGCGAATTCAACCTTAATACAACTGTAAAAAAAATTAGCGAAACATCAAGAAATAAAATGTAGAGAGTTAGAGGTAGAGTTTCACAACAATAGAGGAGTGTCTGCTGGTGGTTGACTTTATGGTGCCGTGACAATGTGAGGGGGGGATTAGAGACCCGCCTGCCTCTGGCTCCGCCTCAACGAAGGTCGAATTAAGGCAAGGCCAAAGAATTATACCTGAAGGCGTATGTATGTATGTATGAGTACTCCATACATATATATAGTATAAATTATCTATGTGGAGATATCTACTATTAGCTAACCTCTGTGCCCAGTCATCGTGCGATAATAATTGCAAATGTCACAAAACACATAAAAACAACAAAAGGAAAACATGAAAAGGCTTTTGATTGGTTTTCGCATACATAGAAGTGAATAATTGATCGTGAGAGGCATGCGTGAGAGAGATATACAGAGAGGGATAGAGAGAGAGAGGGAGCGAACACGTGAGTGAGTCATGTGAATAGTTCGTAAGGGGATTTTCTGCATTATCATGCTGATGGATCAGGAAAGCACTGTGTGGTATGGATGATATTTTGTTGTTGCTTTACTATATTCCTCTCATTTATTTGGCATGCTTTGTTTCATCCCAATTGTTTCTTCCATCTGCTGTGACGTCACCGCAGTTTTGCATTCAATGGTGAAATAGTTGAAGGCAACTTCTCGATCAATTTACCGTTTATCCTTATCAAACCACACACCCGCACCACACACCCCACACCCAATCCTATTTCACTCCATTCCATTCCCACAAAGAGCGTGAGAGAGAGCGCGTGAGGGGGAATACCGGCAGGGTGTGAGCAATATGTGACGTCACACCAGCCTCATGTGAAATTGAGTGAGTGAAAACTAACATATGTATACCAAAGCCATGATGACTCGGCAAATCGGACAAGTGGTATCTAGTGATTAGCCCCCCCACCACCCCCTTGGGGTGGTGTTGTGCTATTTTCGACTGGTCACGGCATGCATCAGAACATTCCAAAATGGAAAACATTGGGAAATGGTGTGATGGAGCAGCAGAAGCAGTATTTAAATGTCATGCATACAGTACATCTGTATGTGTGTACACTTCGTATGGTGTGTGCGTGTGATGGGGGCCAAATCGAATGTCAAGGTTAGACGCCGTGCGGACACAAGCTGAAAAACAACAAAATCGAATCGCCCCGTAATTACAGCAACAGAAACATAGAAAATCAATAAAATAGCCCTTGTCTCCGATTCCTAATTACGCATTTACACAGGCACCCAGAAAAAAAACACACACAAGGAACAACAAAACTTAGCCACAAAAAAATAAAAACAATTATCTTTCCCCAGGCCCCGGCTCCGACTTTGGGCCAAGGCCATGCCCCTCTCTGCCGATGAACCAAACAAATCCAAGCAAATCATTATAAAACTTGGCGTCCAGTCAATGGTTCCCAGCCACAAAAACACACATACACTCATTATTATTGAACACAAGAAAGAGGAAGGCTGGCCGAATGATTTGATACCCTTCCAGAACCATCTTTTCCTATGGCAATGAAACGGGGTTTTGCGGCTATCTTTGGGCTTGGGTTATCTTTAGAAAATAAAACGATCGTATGACAACTTTTTATAAGTGATACGATACTTGGCAGTTCGTCATATCTGCACGTAGCAAAAATAAAGATCTTTCATTTGCTTGTCCACTCCAAACCGTATTACCCCCCTAATATTAGCATGGGGTATATGACAAAAACAGCAACACTACACTTACCGGCAAAATGCGATGAGGAAAAGGTATATGTAAGAAAACACAGACACACACACTGACGCGTGCGCTCCAATAGGAAATACACCCAACGGTTTGTTGGTGGCCTCTGTGTCTCTCAGCTGTTGCTCCGGGCGACGTCGACGCTGACTGGCGTCAATCGGAAAAACTAGCGGCACAAACAAAAATGACCTCGTTCCGTTGCTGCTGCTGCTGCTGGTGCTATACCTCTGCTCTTTCTCGCTCTCCGCTATGCTGCTGCTGCTGCTGCTGCTGATTTGTTGTTGCAGTTGTCGGGGATTGTGTAACGACCACCCCCTCAAATGGTATGGTCAGCAATTTGCCGAATTTCCCGCTGTTTTTCTTTTGTTTTGTGTGTTTGTGGTTTGGTTTGGTTTCTCTTTTGTTGCAGTTCACAATTTGTCAATTACGAACCTATGTATGGTGTGTACATATGTATTATGGCAGGTGTTGTGTGGGCTTCTACCAATCTTTAAATATATGCATATTTTCACAAATTATTACAAAAAAATATTAACAAGAAAATAAAATAATGTGCAGGTCGCGTGATTTTGTTGTTGTATTTTTTTTTTTGTGGGTGAAGGTGATTTGCTCTCCGCTCTTCGAGAGCCTTTCGTTACAGCTGCGACTGCGACGTCAGCTGCTTGCTCTGCGCCGCACGTATCGTCTTGTAAACAGATATGCAGTTGGCCACACAAAAATTTTGTTAATAATAGAATTCAGAGTCTACCGGAACCACCACAGGAGCGGCGACGGAGACTGATACAAAACGTGCTCTGTCACCCAATGATAGGCGGGTGGAATGGTGTGGGAAAGAACAGAAGAAGTGCCTCTGTTTTTTTTTAATTAGAAGACGCGGCGCGGTGCGGTGCGGTGCGGTGTGCAAGTGGGATGGCGTGAGTGTGAGTGCATGGGTAGAAGAGTGTGGGTGAGGTGGGGTGTGTGTGGGGAGGGGAGGGCCGAATGTGCCAAGTGCTTACGGCCGCAAAAGTATTTCACAATAATTCCACTCAAATGCACACTGTTTACTGATTCTTTTACACGATTTACGGTCGCCGGATTAATGTGTATTACGTTGGATGGGATGTTATAATTGGTTTGGCTGGCAGCGTTTGGGACCGCAACGAGATATTAACACAAACGAATTCCAAAAACAATAAAACGCTCCACTTTAACTGCGCGGCTATTTATGTAAAAAAAGTTGTACATGTTATCGTCACGTTGTGCCCCCGCAACCATTGGCAACCCTATCAGCTTCCCCCACTTCCCTGTCGAGGGCTTGGCAACACTGTTCTCCATATGTTTTCGCGCGACAAGTGTTGGAAAACAGCCCACCCACATCCCCATACTCTCCACGACATTTTCGACATTTAATTTATTTCCAAGAAATGCATTTTAAATAAACAAATTTCAGTTAATTACACATGGTCAGATGGTATTTGCAGAGTCTAAACCTGCAAGTACAGGACTGCCTTTTCGGTGAGGATGGTTATCACATTTCTGGCTGTGGAGAGGCCCAGTATTTCCCCCACCTCGTCGCTGATGGAGACCAGATGCTGTTTCCCAATAACCACCTGTGGCCCGTTGCGCTTGCGCAGCCCGCCTGCGGAATCGTAGCGCGACTTGTAGATAAGCACGTGACGGAGGCCCTCGCAGATCACAGCGTAGTCTAGGTCGGGGCAGCAATCGGTGAACTTTCGCTGCTCCTTGGACGCCTGCACATATGCGAAGGCGTGCAGATTTCCCTCATGGCGCACGGACCACTCGCCCGGCTTGGCCGGCTGGAACGCCTGCAGCCACAGCGCGGCATCTACGCCCTGCCTTGTAGCGAAGGCGGCCGGAAAGCCAGCACGCAGCGACGTTGTAAACAGTGGCGGCGTCGATCCCAAGAAAATTGTGTGAGTTATATCTCCGGATCCCAAATTGAAACGCACTGCCATAGAGAGGGAGCAAAGATTAGCATAGTCTTTGGCGTTGGCAAGGCGAACCCTTTGACTTACCCAGCTTAACGTCTACATCGGGAAGTCCCAAGTCGCAGTCCTCGATGGGATCCTCAAGATTTGGTATCGGCAGCGAGCGATCTGGCAATGGGTCCACATTCGCCTCACCCTCTGGGAGAGCGGCCTCCCCGTCCGCTAGAAGATGTGGCCAGCTCTGCTGCTGCAGCTTGTTCAGAGTCAACTGTAAGCAGTCATTCTCTACCGTCCAGGTAGTCAAATCCCTGTCCACGTTCGCATAGAGGGTTCCGGTCAAGAGAGTCTCTGCCAGGCACTCCACCTCCAGTTGGCTGTTGGTGCTGTGAATGTTGAAGTCATTGCGCGTGGCCCCCGCCGGCAGATGAAAGCGGATCAGCACATCCTCGTCTGTCTGCGTCCAGGTGTATGCTGGGGCAGCCGCCATTTCCACGTCCTCGCCATTTTGGGGCTGCACTGCAGCGCACGGTGGTGCGGCTACACGTTGAGATTTTGTCAGCAGCTCGCGATTGGTGGAGAAGACCACGGACTCGGCACGCGGCTCAAAGGCACAATAGTAGATGGATCCAGTCGTGTCCAGCTCCTCGCGAATGCTGTACGACCACGCGTCGCTGGGCGTTGGCGTCTGTGTCCAGCAGCCCCAGGTTAGGTCCATGTAGAATGTATCTGCACGATCGGCACGCGTCGACACCCGACGTCCCACATGGCCGGCCAGCAGAGATATCTGTTTGCGCTCCTGGACAACGTCCAGCCGAGCATCGTACAACACAAATCCGCGGTTGCCGCTCTCCTGGCTAATCTGCGTTTGGGTGAGCAGCTGCCAGGAGGCTGTGGAGCTGGCCCGCGAACGATCGCCGGTGTCGAGGAGATAATACATTGTGATGCCATCGCAGAGCACGCAGTACTTTTCCGAGACGAAGCGCAGAGTGTAGTTGTAGGCTCCGCCTGACTGCTGGTAGCCATCGCCACGGTCCTGCTCCTCAACGGTATGGACCACACGCTGCTGGCGCGGCCGCCCGTCCTGGGCATCGTAGGAGCAGAGGACAACCTGCCGGCTCTTATTTATGTAGTAGCAGTTCTCGCGTAGCCAAGGATCGGGACAAAGCATGTTGTGCCTGCCGAAGGCCTCTGCGTGCAGCAGCGAGTACTGATCCGAGTGCGGCAGCATCTTGAGCGGCGGCGTTGATAGCAGCTCCTGCTGGATAACCGGCACCGGGTCAAATGAGAGCTTGTAGCCATCGAAGTTGGGGCAGAGAAGGCTCCGGTCCACTCTTAAATCCACCACCGGCATGTTTAAAACGGAATTACGCACTCTGACTGTGGCTAGAAATTTTTAAATTCTGAAATAAACAAACAAAAATAGCACGTCACTGAGTCACCAGTGTTTCGAAGCATCGAAACATCGAAGCAACTACTTATTGGTATTATTTGGTATTTGTCAGTCCCAAATCAGCTGTTCTGGCAGGGCTGCACAGTACATACGTGTTCCTCCAGTGCTGGTAAGGCAGCGCGAAAAAGAGTGTTGACACGTGTCAGAACATTTTACTGTTTTCATCTTGCTCTTAATTTTTTAAGCATTTAACAATTGGCAAACAAACGACGTAAGTAGCCAGAAAATCAGTCGGTGGGCAAAACAAACAAGTTAAGTCGAATAAATAAACCAAAAATGAAGTTTACCAGGTGCTAACCCAACGCTTTCCGTGTACAATTTTGCAGTTTCTGTCGCTCCCGCTTACGGAAAAGCAAGCGCCAACCCATCCCATCAATATTCCCGAGAAGTACGGACTTGACCCAGCCAGCTGCTTCGTGGCAGCGGATGAGAACTGTGCACAACGCGAGAATACTGACGCATAGCAGCGTTTATACTACGATTAGTTCCAGCCAGCGGCATACCAAATAGCACCATTACAATGGGCAGTACGAGGTACACACAGACCGCCGACAAGTTGGTGCTGGCCCTGCTCGCCGCAACCGCCCTGCTGCAGTGTGCTGCCGGGGTGGAGTTCACCTTCGATTTGGCCGACAATGCGGAGGACTGTTTCTACGAGGAGATCAAGCGCAACACCAGCGCCTATTTCGAATTCCAGGTTTCCGCCGGCGGCCAGCTGGATGTGGATGTCCATCTGAAGGATCCGCAGGGCAAGGTCATTTACAAGCTGGAGCGCGCCACCTTCGATAGCCATCAGTTTGTTGCCGAGACAACGGGCGTATACACGGCCTGCTTTGGTAACCAGTTCTCGGCCTTTTCACACAAAATCGTCTACGTGGACTTCCAGGTGGGTGACGAACCAGCCCTGCCCGGCGTCGACGAGCATGCCACGGTCCTCACCCAGATGGAGACCTCATCGCAGGCGATACACAAGGGCCTCAACGACATACTAGATGCCCAGACGCATCATCGGTTGCGCGAGGCGCAGGGCCGCAAGCGAGCCGAGGATCTCTACCAGCGCGTCATGGTCTGGTCATCGCTGGAGACGGCCGCCGTTGTCCTGATCAGCATCACCCAGATTATGGTGCTGCGCAACTTCTTTACGGACCGCAAGCCCAGCCAGTCGCACTACGGCCGCCTGTAAGAGAACGGGCCGCCATCAAAAGACGGGGTGCACGGCGAGGGCCGGCACGGTCAACGTCAGGCCAGGAGCGAGGAGCGAGGAGGAGTGTGAGCTGAGGGAGCTGCATCATCCAAGCATAAAATAACCTTTTCTCTCAATTTAAAATCTTGCGATAAGTGCCCTTGTTCCCCCTTGGCGCCTTATCCACAAATGTATTCATTCCTTGTGGGCCTTTCTTCTACTTTTGTGTGGTGCAGCCGCGCCCCCCGTTCACCGTAAACCGAATCGAAATGACATGTAATAGTTTTTGTTGTTTGACCCCACCCGGAAACAGAATGTTTTTTTTTAAATATATGCAATCCACAATTCGATAGCTAAAAGAGGATAACGGGCTGTTTTTACTGGGGGAGTACTGTTCCTCGTTCTCTCTCTCTCTCTCTCCCAGCAGAGGCTGTCGTGGCCATCGATGGCTTCACTACAAAGTAAAGCACAAGAACGGATAACGGCACAAAACAGCTGTGTCAACATTGTACCTCTGTGTGTGTGGGAATATTATTGAGAGAACACGAACCGTTTAAATATAGCTGTATCGCGAATTCTATAATGAATAAATTATTATTCGTTCGTATATTATAATCAAAAGGATTAAGATTTGATTTGTGTGATTGATGAACAGCCTCAACAGCCATGTAATGGCAGGACGTCATTGTGGTAATTTCTTTTCGAAAAAGGTATAGGTATATAACAGCTCTAAGAACAGAATTATGAACACACAAAATACGAGACTAAAACATTAACCATTAAAACATTAAACGAGCTGCTTACACCCCCCGAAAAAAAAGGATCATTCGTTGGGGATTAAAAATTTTTAAAGATATTCGTTTTTTTTGAGTTTTTGGTCGGTTTGTTTTCGGGGCGTCTTGTTGGGTGTAGACTTTGCTAGGTATTAAAAAGCTAGGCTTTGTGATTCCGCTCCCTGGCAACCTGCTCCGTCTGCTCCTGTTGGCCAAGGACTCAAATACTGCCACAATCATAAGCACATAAGAGAAAAATTTTAAATATTTGTAATATTATGAGAACCTCGGATCCTCATCCTTCCTACGAGTGCAGGTGCAGATTTATTTATTTGACAAAAAATCTGTAAATCTAAATTTCGTAATGAACTGCCCCAAATATGGAAAGATATGGAAAAACGATGGAAATTTATCTTCACACAATCTTCAGAATATCAAATTCAAATAAACAGTTTAGTGTGTGACAGACATATGTATGTAAGTGCTGCAATTGCTAGATATCCTTGCTAGGAGAAAACTCTCTGCTGTGAGGCTCTTAAGTGTCATCGTGTAAACAATCGAATGGGTATTGAACATAGCTTAACAATTGTGAACTTTTGTGCTTGTCAATGCTTTTTAGCGCCGATAAAACATAAACAGTTTGCTGTGTGTGGTGTGTGGTGTATTGCTGCAATTGCTAGATATCCTGGCTGGAGTGTTGGAGACGACCCTCTGCTGTTAGGTTTCCCACGTGTCTTCGTGGGCTGCTTTGTGGCGGCTGCTTTGAATTTCGCTAAATGCATTTTCTAATACGTATTCAATGTTATTTGATTGGAAACAGTTGTAAATAAATGTGAATAATTTTTGGTTTGTTTATGGCCACGAACTAGAGCTGAAACAAAATCATTTACATAAATATTTCTGCGTAAATAAACCCTGTTTCACTCACTATTTTTGTTGCTAACATCCAATATTATTAATGTAGAATTTTCGCCTTTACTTTTTTTCCTTTTCCTCGGGCTTCGGGAACTTGGTGTTGTAGAGTGGAATATAGCCGGCAATTATCTTCCAGTCGGTGTAGTAAACTAAAGCCAAAAAGGCAGCAGCTCCGAAATATCCAGCCGAAGGCATACTAAGGGGTATATACAAAATGTAAATCAGCTAAAGAAAGAGCTTTGGTTAGAGCAGGTTGGCAGCTGCCTAAATGATGAATGAAAGCCCTGGCAACTGGACTTTGTATTTCCAAATATATATTTCCAAATTATAGATGCTATAATCCCTTGTATTTCCTTGAGTTCTCGTTTTGTTTTCTACTTACAAGGCGGTGGCCATTTGAATGTGGCTCTTTGAGGGCCTGTGCCGGCAGTATAAATATAACATCTTATCTTTGAGACCCATTTTTGAAATACTTTTGTGTTTTCGTAGATCTTTTATACGAATAAAACAAATGATACCTTGACAGTCGAATTGAAAATTTCAGGCCTGCCTGATCGATCAATAGGGATCTAAAATCTTCCCAACTTTTCTCTCCTCACGGAAAATGTTCACTAATTTATTTTGATTTATTACATAGGCAGGCAACATACTGGTGATCTCCCCACCATGCTGATTCGTCTCGGTCAACGTGAACCAATACAAAATCAATACAAATTTCACGGCTAATTCCCATGGTGAATCATCGTCATTCAAATCGCAAATAAATGCTCGCCGTATCAAGTGTTTGGCCTTCAATTTAAATTGTAATAATTATAAGAGTGCATTAATCTGGTGGGCAAATTGTTATCTTATCATGGATCGCGTGCCTGGAAGTTTCCATAGATCCAAAGAGCGATAATTTCAGAGCTTTGGGGTCTGGTCTCTAGTTCTTTCTAAAGGTTTCGCCACATTCATCTATGCTAATTATAATGCGAAATTATGACGATTTTGTGTTTACCAAACGATGATAGTTACGCAAGCAATAAATATATATCCATACATATGTACATAATATGTATGTATGTATGTATGTATGTATGTATATTATGCAAAAATGTTGAACGATAATTCCATGCGGCAGTTGCGCTAACAGCTGTTCCACACGCAATAAATCTTATTAACTGTTATGGGAGCTGTCATCTTTTATTGTTGATCTTCTTTGATTGACTTTTTAGCTTTATTTCGCACACACTTCGCTCGCTAGCGATCTTTTGTCAATGGATTGAATTCAGTATGCAAAAACATGCCAAAAATTAAAGTATCTTAAATTGGCTTCAAAACAATGTCTGCATCGTCTCCTGCGCTTTGTCACCGACAAAACAATACAACACAAAACACAAAACACAAACATAATATGGCAAATACATATATTCAGTTTACATATATGGCCTGGCCTGGTATGAGAACTGATGTTCATAATTCATCAATTATGTGAGTAAAATATTTTCAGAATGAACGATAGCTTTTCTTTTTCTTTTTCTTTTTTTTTTTGCTAGGCAGCTACTTTTATCCAATATTAAGACGAGTATTTCTTTGCCTACAATTGGCTCAGGCTTTCATCAATGCTGGCGCTCTGTGGCAAATGTGTTGGTATTTTGTGGGGGGGGGGCTATTCCCCCAGCTTTTGTGTTTGGGTATCAACAAAATGAAGGCCTCAAAACCACGAGCCAAGTGAAAGGCAAGGTGCGAGCGGCGGCGGCAGCAGCTGAAGGACACTTGTAAATGATTTGTCAGCGTAGAGCAGAGTTTTGTCGTCGGGTCAAGCCATGGAATTCGATCGATCGATCGATCGATCAATCCAACGAGAGATTGATTGCTGTCAAAAACGGGGTTAATTATACAAACATATGTACATATGTATGTAGATATGTACATATGTATGTACGTGATAGCTGCTGCTGCTTGCACGTGTCCAGGCCCAACGGGGTCAGAGTTCGGTCAGAGTGGAAGCTCCCCCCCTTTTTAAACCATAAGAGACACCATTCCTCGAAATTCAAATTCAAATCAGTTTCAGTTTCATTTTTCAGCCCGGATCAATGATGATGGCAATCAATGACAATCGAATCGTCTGTGTTATGCTCCGCTCCGCTCCCCTCCCCTCCCTTAAACAAGCACGCCTCAAACTTCCTACTTCCCGCCGGCTGTCTGCTGTTTGTCTGCCCTCCTCCTCTGACCGCCTCGGAGCATGTCTTCGGCAGCCAGTCCCAGCCATAGCCCCAGCCATGCGCCTCTTCATTCAACTCTGGCTATGGATCGGTCGCCGCTCTGGCTGCCCCGATCGCCGTCGCCGTCGCCATCGCCATCGCTTTCGCTGTCCATCCGCAGACGCTGTAGATCCCATGGCTTATGTATCAATTAGTGGTACGACGACTCTGGCTCATCCGTCACTAAGCGATTGGCATTGTGTGCTGCGAGAGTGGCTCCATAAGTTTTGGCAGCCCGAGGGAATAATATAATCTCAGACTTGCAAATTTTGGCACAAAAAAAAGTTTATTTGCTTCTTTTGGATACGAGTATTTAAAGCATACTATGTACACTAATGTAATCCACATAAAAGTGCACATACATAATAAATATATAATTAGTGGGTATAACTCTTGGATCGGCCACCTTGATCGACGCATTTTTTATAATAATTTTTGTTTGCATTTTCTTTTTCCTTTCGCTTTCGTTGTCGTTGTTTTGTGTCTTTTTTTGTATGCCTTTTGTTGATTTTCATCAGTCTCTGAGGCTTTGCCAAATATTTTGACGGCAGGGGGGGGGCAGCCTTTGTGGCTGCAACCTGTCGGATTTTGGTGTTGCTGCTCGTATGTCAGTGGATCCTCTGCCCGCCAGCCCTTGGATATGGCACAAATTTAATATTGATAAATATCTCAACAATATGCAAAACAATAACTATGTAAATCGACGCTCCGATGGCCCTCTAATGGGCGGCGATGTTTGTTAATGTGAATGTATTAATTTCCACAAGCAGTTAGAGAGCGAGAGGGAGAGAGAGAGAGAGAGAGGGAGAGAGGAAGATAAGTGGGGGGAGAAATTAAATAATTAACAAGGCAGGGAATAATATGCATATCGAATTTCGTGGGGTCTTATGCCAACCAACTGCAACACACCCCAAAGCCCCCAGAGCATAAATACATACATAAATATGTATGTATGCATGTACATATTTACATTCAATGCTAATTTAAATTGCGCAAAAATTGATGGGCCCAAAGAATCGAATCGAGGCTGGGGCAGCAGCCGGAGGTAGCTGGGGGCCAGCAAATGCGTTACAAAACTCTCCATCACGAGTCGAATGATTCAGGTAAATATTATTTGAAATGCGCACAACAACAATTAAATGTGCCACTATTTATCAAAGGCAAATGAATTCGTTGTACATATATTTACTTTGCCTTCTGATTTGAGATCAGTTGGCACATAGAGTCTGTACCATCCTTCTTCTTCTCTCTCTCTCTCTCTCTTTCTTCGCTGCTAGCTCAATCCTAGTGGAGGTTTCCTAACCGATGGGCGTGTACTTAAGGCTCTTAAGGTTCCCATGGACACTGGGTTTGGCTAGGGCAGGCCGGGCAGTGTCCAGGCCGAGGTCCACGAGGTAGCAGACTTCGCCAGACTCAGGGCTCAGCAACTGTTGCACTGTTGGATTATCCAAGTAGAAATGCATCTCCAAGCCACCAGTGCCAATCGATGCCTTGGCCATGTTTGGGAGCCTGCAGCTTCTCCGGCATGGCGTACAGGCGTGCCTAGTCCTTTCTGGCCAGCAACTGCTTTGAGTTTAAGTTCTCAAAATGTAGCCAAACACTCGACTCCATTCGATCACAATTGATCTATTACCAATAAGAGATTTTTCCCGATGCTTTTTTGTACTGATGAAACGCCCCTTAGTTATGAAATGCATTATGAATATTGTTTATTTAATTATTTAACACTCAACAGCTTTGATCGGACCCAACAACTCCAACACCGACAGCCCCCTCCCCCTGCCACACCTTTGTTTTTGCCATTGGGCCTAAATATTTAAAATTCAATTGAAATCGAATTCCATTCCATTCAATTCGAATCAATTCAATTATTTGCATGGCTGGTCCGGACAGACAGTCTTTATTGTTCTCTCCATCTCCCTCTCTCTCTCGGTCTCTCTCTTTTTCTATGGGGGGGCTTTTGTGTTGGCCAACTTGTTAGCCATCATCGTCGCTTAACACACATTCAAATGTATGCATTGGCTTGCCGGCCCGGCCAAATATGCATAAATTATTTGACTGAAGATGGGTCAAGGTTGTCTCAAATTGAATGGCAGCTGCTGGACTGGGGGGGAAAGCCGAACCCCCCCAGTTGCTGAGCGCGCGACATGGGAAAATAATACGTGTATGTATGTGTTTCTGTGGGAAAACTTACAGCGGTAAGATGTCGCTTATGTCAAGATTATACAACATTTTGCTCTTTTGTTGCTATTTGTTTTGATTGAAAATTGCTTGGCGTTTAAGAAGCTTCAAATACATCCATTGAAAGTGATACCTCTTTTCCTTTATTTCCTTTTCGAGTTTTATCTTTCTCTTTTCTTTCTTTCTTTCTTTTTTTTTTTTTTTTTTTGTTAATTTGTCATGGACTAAATGATTTCTTGGATCCGGAAGTCACTCAATGAATAGCGACAAAAGACACTAATCAGTCCAATCAGTCTTCCTGCACAACATTTCTGTGACATTAAGGACTAGAATAAAGCGAATAAAAAACCCAGAAGGAGTCCACGAAAGACAAAAAGTAGTTTTAAGTTGAAGGGGGGAAGGCGTGCACAAGTTTTCCTATCCGCCAGCTAGCTAAGCGTGCCAAAAGATATCTAACCCCGGGACAGAGATGCGCAGATGCGGAGATGTGGATATGCGGTGATTCGGCGCGGGTAGATGGATGGGATGATAGGCGACATGCTTATCGAGGCATGTTTAATTTATGGCTATGGCCCCCTGACCCCTAATGAATACTAATGACAGATGTAATAATTTTTGCTTGCAAATATTTATCGAACATTTGCGAAATGAAATGAAGCGCGGTCCCACAAACCCACACCATGCCCCGCACTCGGCTCGTAGGTGAAATCGAAATGCAAAAATAACAAGCGGCAGGAAATAGAAAATATAACAGATATATGCAAGGTTATGCAAGGTCCCTTACTCGAGAGAGAGATGGAGAGAACAGATGGATGGATGGATGGATGACTGATGCGGCACATGCCTGTTGGGAAAAGGCGTATTAATTACATCCGCCCTGCCCCTTGGGTCGGAGAGTACGATCCCACCCCCGACCACCACCGATCCGGTCTCAAAATCTGCATTTTCAAGCGCAAACTCGACTGAGAGAGGCAACAGCGCAGCGGCCACTTGATTTTGTTGCGCATGCGCCCCGGTGACAGCGACAGCGAACCCAAAACTAATGAAAGGCCTCCGAGCGCCGAGCGCCGAGCGCCGAGTGCCGAGCACACGAACCGATCGAACTCGAGCGATACGAAGCCGTGGAGGGAATTAGCGAAAGATGATGGAAGATCTGATGGAAGATAGAAAAGATGTCGCGGGCCCCGAGCAGCGGGAGCGCGGGGAGCGGAGCAAAGGGCAGCCCATGGAGATGTCGTGAATGTGCAGATGAAGATGTGAATGAAGATGAGCCCAGCGACTAGTTTTCGGGGCAGCCGTTGCCCCTGTATAAAATGCGTGCGCAGGTCAGGTTGGTCCATCATTGAACGGTTGGACATCGAGGGCTCAAGCACGACCAACGTGACGATGAATGTAAGTGCCAAAGGATTGCCAGTGAAACCAGTGACATTTATTCAGCCGCAAGAAAAACCTTTGAGGACACAGTACAGTGCTCTATAACAATATACCCACACACGTATATATTTATTATTTTTTTTTTTTCTGTGATTTTTTATTTGCTGTGCTTAAACAACGTTTTCCGTTTTTGTTTCCGTTTCGTTTTGGTTCTTTTTGTTTTATTTCCTGTGAAGTTCTTTGGCGCCTTCTTTGCGCTCGCCATTTGCGCGACCTGTGGATTAACCCAAGCGGATATATCACTCAAGCTCCGACAGCAGCAGCAGCAACAGAAGCAGCAGCCTCTGATCATCAAGGAACAGTACTACAAGACGGGCGGCGGCCCCAGCGGCGGTGGCTTCCAGGAGAGCAATTACGCCAATTCCGGCTATCAAATCTTCGAGGTGCACAATCACTATCAGGGCAAGAGCCACGCCTATCTGCCGCCCTATCAGCAGGCGCCACGCCCGCGCCCTGCCCAGGCACAGGCACAGGCACAAGTTCAAGTTCAGGCCCAGAACCAGATCCAGGGTCATAATGGGGCCGCTCTTGACGACAGTCTGGATGTGTCTTTCCTGGGCTTAGCCGATTTTGGCCAGTCTGCACCAGTAGCGCCATCTGGTGCTCCCGTGGCAGTCTCTGTGGCTGCCCCAGGCCCAGCTTCAGCACCAGCTTCAGCACCCGTTTCCGTGCCCTTCCCCTCAAGCTACCAGCATAACTTCCAGCGAACGCAGCCACAGGCTGTCGCTCAGTCATCCTCCTCCTACTGTCTTTGGCGCCCAGCCCTATTTGCCCCCTACTTCGGCCACGCCCAGTGTCCAGACACAGCAACAGCAGCAAGAGCAGCAGCAACAGCAGTACTCTCAGCAGAGCTACGAGGCTCCGGGATATCTGCCACCTGCCACCGCCACGGAAGTTTTAAGCCCAGTAACAAACTATCGGGCACCCGACTATCTGCCTCCCACAGCCTCCTACCCCCAACAGCAGCAAGTGCAGCAGCAGCAGCAGCAACAACAGCAGCAGCAGCAGAGAGTCTATAGAGCTCCTGCCTACCTACCCCCTACCAGCAGCACAGCTCCATCCGGCCTCGTGAGCAGCACTGGCAGCACAGCCACCACATCAGTCCAGGCACACAGCACTGCCTCCAGCCAGGCCGACTATCGTGCTGCCTCCTATCTGCCACCTCAGCAGCAGCAGCAGGTGCAGCAGGTGCAGCAGACAGGCACCTGCAGCAGCACAAGAGTACCAAGCACCCGGATATCTGCCACCTGGCTACGACTTTGAGAATCCCGATAGGTTGCCCCTCTCGCTGATACAGTCCCTGTCCGTTGCTCCTGTCCAGCAAGTGGCTCCGGTACAGGGAAGTGGCTCCGGTGCAGCAAGTTGTGGGCGATTACCGTGCTCCTGGCTATCTACCACCTGGCTACGATGAGCCCCAGCCCCAGCCCCAGCAGCAGCCACAGCAACAGACAAACATAATCTACCAGCAGCAACAGCCTCAACAGCAGCCCCAACAGCAGCAACAGTTGGTGGTGCCAGCCACTCAGGCCACTGTCGGCCAGAGCCAGACTGTGGCTCTGCCGGATGGCTATGACTTCGAGAAGCCCGAGAATTCAGAGGCTGCCATTGCCGAGCTGCACAGCCTGCAGACCCAGACGAAATTACTCAAGCAGCAGCAGCAGTTGCAACTACAGTTGCAGCAACAGCAACAGCAAAGCAGCAGCAACAACAACAACAGCAGCAGCAGCAGCAACAGCAGCACAAGACAGCAGCAACATATTGTGGTCCAATCTCAATTGCAGGTATCTACGCAGCAGCAGGGATCCGATATTGTCTATGGCCGACCAAAGGCGCAGCAGCAGCAGCAGCTGGTGGCAACAGGCGGATACCAGGCGCAGCAACAATACACTGCGCCCGGCTACCTGCCCCCATCAGGGGCCGCAGTTCAGGCTCCAGTTTCCATCTCCATTCCACTGCCTTCTCCTGTACCGGTACCCGCACCCGCTCCCGCACCTGTGGCCGTTGTCCATGCAACATCGTCCGCCACAGCCACTTACCGCACAGCAGCAGCAGCAGCAACAGCAACAGCAGCAACATCAGCAGCAACAACAGTACACAGCTGCGGGCTACTTGCCACCAGTGGCCATTGCACCCGCTTCAGCTCCAGTTGCTAACCCACTGCCAGCTCCTGTCCCGGCTCCAGCACCAGCCCCAGCTGCAGCGCCAGTTGCCATTGTCCAAGCAACATCGACGGCCACCGCTTACCGAGCTCAGCAGCAGCAGCAGCAGCAGTACAACGCTCCTGGCTACCTGCCCCCAGTGACAGCCGCACTGCCCGCCCCAGCTCCCACCCAGGTAACGCACATCCATTCGCTGAGGAGCTACATGAACACGGTGCAGCCTTTTGCCCGCTACGCCCAGCCAGTGCCTGTCCGCCAGCAACATTACCAGCAGCAGCAGCAGCACCAGCAGCAGGTCATAGAGGTGGCTCCCATGTACCGCGAGCAGTCGAAGCGTCCCCGTTTCTATGCCCCGGCCATGTCCTATGTGAGCAATGCTGTGCCCCGTCAGCAGCACCATCTGCACCATCATTACCATCGCGTGGTGCAGGCTCCGGTGCAGGTCCAGGTGCAGCCCAGACCCCAGGTGATCACCCAGAAACTGCAGCCAGTCGGTGCCGCACCCACACTGAGCCTGCGGGCGCAGCAGTCGCTGCAGAAGTTCATGCCCAAGGATGTCCAGGTGGCCGTGAACGTGGCCATGGCTGCGTCGCCTGCGCCCAGTCCGCACCGCGGCAGCTCCCGCGTGCGCACCGTGCAGATTGTCAAGCCGCATGCGGTGCGTACCTTCAAGGTGCTGGAGACGATCGATCAGGCTGGCGTCAAGACCATCAAGATACTGGGCGCCACCAACGAGCGGCCCCAGGGGCATCATCATGTCGTCAAGGTGGTCACCCAGGACGCGCACAGCGGCGCCGAGAATCACGTGCAGACGGTGAAGATCTACGACGACCTGCAGGCCTATGCCCAGCCACCGGCAGCCATTGTGCGCAACAATGGCTACCTGCCGCCGATCGGCGGGCGAGGGCGTCCCAGGACACGCATCGTGCGTCAGACATCGCCGTCCGGCGGCAAGACGCTGCGCCTGTTCCCCGTGCCCAGGGGCCTGTGAGCCGGAATGGATGGGAGACAGCGATCCAAGCGGATCCGCTCTAGCACTGATTAGTTGTTTAATTCATCATCGACCGCTTATATTTTGTTGTTGTTTCTGTTCGTTGTCGTTTATTGTTAATGCCCCCATCGCTGCCTCATTTCGCATGCATTTTCTGTTGAAATTATCTCGGTTCCCAGCCAGACAGCCACCAGCCACCAGCCACCAGCCATGAGCATTTCCAATACCCCAAAATCCCCCCATCGCAATCGCAATCGGAGTCATTTGCATGCCCAAGCGCAACAGCTTCCAACGAATCGAATTTCTTACCTAATAAATTTATATATATGTAAATAATTTGACTGTTTAACTGTGACTGGGTTGGGGGGGGGTAAACAACCTGGCCTTTGGTTGGGTTGGTTGTTGGGTTTGTTTTGGCTGTTTGCACTGATCTCTCTGCGTTGTGATCGCCCCGGCGGTCTATGCATGTGACCTTCATTGTGGATCTTTTGATGGCTTTTCATCGTTTGCCCATGCGCTGCTTCCCTGCTTTCAGAGTGAAAGCCCACAGCCCAGCCCACCCCGTTCGACGCTTCTTTCTGGATTGATCAACAAATAGAAGGGGGCCACATCCAGCTAAGATATAATTTGATGTACAAATTATGAGCGTAAATGGGGGAGGGCAGTTGGTTACACATTTCCATGCATATTTTTTTTTTTTTTATTTTTTTTTTTTTTTGTTGCTCCATTTTTCACTCCAAACTTTTCGTGCACAAATCTGAGATATTTTCGTGGTACATTTGCATTTCTATTTATTTTATTGCCACTGTTAAGGGAGCATTTTTATTCTATTTATTTTATTGCCACTGTTAAAGGAGTAAAATTAGAATTCGTCTTGGAAAATCATAAAATTTGAATGGAAATTTTCAGTTAAATTAAATCATTTGTATAGCCCGCAGAGGCCGTGGGTTTTCCGCCAAGTGTTGCACATTCGTTGCCCTCAAGTAGGTGCATTTAAATCACCTCAAGGTCACAGACTGGGCGTTCGGTATGCAAATAGAGCCAAGCGGATCTGTGGCAACGGACTCGATCGATTGATTGCCCGCCCGATGACATAAGTCCACACAATGAATGCGCGGCACAAGCCCAAACAGCCTCCGCATCCAGACTCCGAGCCCATAAATTACATCGCCGATGATTGCTCAGTAAACCACCAACTTTTTTATTGATCCAAAGCCCCCAAACAAAGCCGAAAGCCGAATGCCGAAAGACTGTTTGGAAAGCAAAACCCTAAAAGATAAACCCGAACCCGAACCTAAACCTAAACCTAAACCTGACGTGCTACGAAATCCAGCCAGATGCCGCCCTTGTGGCAGCCCACAAAGATGTACGGATCGAGTTCGAGGCCCGCGGCGGTGCGTGGATTTACACGCACTTCGAAACGCTGCACAATGGCCGCCAGGGCGGCCTTTGCCTGGGCCAGGCCCAGACGCATGCCCACGCACTGGCGCGGCCCGTTGCCGAAGCCCAGGAAGACGCCCATCTGCTTGAACCGCTTGAGGCCGCCGTCCAGAAAGCGCTCGGGCCGGAACTCCTCCGGCTCCGGATAGAACTGGGCATCGTGATGCAGCCCATAGATGGGTATCATGACGTTGTCGCCCGGCAGCATCTGCAGCGGCTGGCTGTGGTGGCTGCCGCGCAGCTTGTACGCCTCGGTGCAGGTCTTCGAGGCCCAGCCCCCAGCTGGATAGATGCGCAGGCTCTCTGGGGCAGTGAGAGAGAGTGAGAGAGAGAGAGAGAAACAGAGAAACTTTGGGGAATAATCAGGCTGATCCGGCTCGCGCACTCACCATTGAAGCAGGCACTCAGATAGGGCAGATCATTGAGCGCGTCCAGGTCGGGCAGCTCCTTCGTGGGACTGGCCTGGTCCAGCTCCTGGCACAGGCGCTGCTGGCACTCCGGATAGCGTCCCAGCTGCAAAGGGAAGACTCATTCATGACCCCGGATGGCCTCGGATGGGGATGCCCGTGCTGGCCGTGCTTACCAGCAGCAGGCAGTGCGAGATGGTCGAGGAGGTGGTGTCCAGGCCGTCGAACATGAAGGTCATGGCGTGCGACGTCAGCTGCGGCTCGGTCAGGCCGTGCTCCCGCTTCAGGGCCAGCAGATGGTTGATGAAGTCGTTGCGCTCCTGGTGCTGGCCGCGCCGCAGCCGGAACGCCTCCCGGATGAGGTCGCCGAAGAAGCGGTCGTAGGAGCGGGGAAAGATCTTGGGCCGCAGCCAGCGGGGCAGGCGCGGAAAGAGGCCGTTGAGGGCGCCGGCAATGGCCAGGCCCGGATTCTCGTTGGACATCTCCCGGTTGTGCCGGATCACCGGCAGCGGCGAGTCGCTGAAGCAGCGCGCCTGAATGCCCAGCACGCAGTCGAAGAGGCTGTCGCCGGTGAAGCGCAGGCCGAGCTGTAAGAACGGGATTGGTAATTAGTTCAGCAGCAGAGCCAGCAGTGGCCAGCAGTAGCCAGCCAGTGGCCAGCAGCTGCGCAGCCCACATCCATGCCATCCTGCGGCTCTCCCTTGAGCGATTCCCTGCCAATGAAGTCGCACAGATCGCGACACACGCGCTGCATGATGGTGTGGGTGGTGCGGATGCGGCCGTTGGTCAGCAGGCTGGAGAAGATGCCGCGCTGCTGGCGCCACTCGTTCCCCTCCAGCACGAAGGGATTGCAGCAGACGAGCACGTCCTTGCCGGTGTCCACCATGCGGGCGGCATCGTTGTCCTCAAAGTGGCGGAACGCACTCACGAACACCTCGTACACCAGCCGCGGCTCCAGCAGCAGCAGCTTGGGCGAACGCAGCAGATATGTGCCGATGTAGCTGTCCGTCTCCCGGTATTTCCTGCATTCAAAGATTGCCCAAGATGACTCTCCTTCCTCACACTGTTCTCTCTCGCTCTCTCTCTCTGTCTCTCCCACTCACATGTACAGATCCCTCATGTCCATGGTAAAGTGCTGGCGTGGCCAGACCATATTGGGGAACGAGCCCAGCAGCGGCAGCGCCCTCGGCTCCTTGATGCCCCGTCGTCGCCAGTGGCCAAAGTTCCACACCAGAAAGCCATAGAGCAGCGCCGCCAATGCGCCCACAGCCAGCAGCAGTGATCCAACCATGTCGAAGGTGTACGTATCACTGAGCGCCCAGAGATTTCAATCTGTGGTGGGGCTGCACGTTCTACTCTGACGTGCTGTCTGATGTGTGGAAGGGCTGCTCTCTGGTTCTGCTTCTGCCTCTGGTTAGGCATGCGTGTCGGCGATGTCGCAACGAAGCTTGGCGTGGCGGTGGCGTGTGGCGTTTAAAATGGGGATTGGATTGGTGCATGTGGATGTGGGGGCCCCATTATCGAATTAGCCACAGAGCTTCTCTCTCGTAACAGCCAAAGGTCAAAATATTGCACTGCATTCGCTTGGCAAGTGATCAACGCATAAAGACATTCCCACAATCAGATTAATCTGCACATCGAATGGTTGATGAATGCTCCATAAATGAAAATGGAATAATCCCCATAAATGGTGGCCGAGACGCAGCTAATCCGTATACCAATCTGTGTGGGCAGATCCAGTGGGCAACCAGCCAACAGTAGAAGCTATCAATCATCGTTCATGATTGATGATCCCTTGAGCACACACATGAGAAATCCCAAATCCATGCAAATCCCAGTTCCCACTCTCCACTCGCCACTCGCCACTGACATTGACATTGACATTGTTGCAGAGGGGACAGCCAAGGCGTAACCAATTCATCTGAACTCTGAATAAATACCAGCATAAAACTCGGATGCCAATTGAAGATCATTGAGAATAAAGTGCCATATCCCTCTACACCCACCAGAACAACTGCTCCTATGATTGTTAAGCATTTATTCAGACCCCAAGCAGCCTTTGAAACAGTAGAGAGCAGAGTGCTAGAGCACTTACATTTATTTATTGAGTAGTGTAAAACCCCATCAAAATTCCCAGTTAACTGCAAATTTACTGTGATCATCCCATAAATTCATTAGTTAAAATTGAACAGCAATCAGCAGCCATGGCTAGGCCAAAGAAGCCCCAAAAGGCACAAAAGGCAGGTCGTCAGAAGAGGCAGCCACCAAGGAAGCATCAATCGAGCAGCCCATTTATCAATTACCTTCGCTGCTTTCAATCTTTCAACGCGAAAATGTTCATGCGGAATGCCGTCCGAAATTGGCTCCAGATGAGTCCCATGGAGCGGAAGGCATACGAGACAAAGGTAATACGAAGTCTAAGGAGAGTGAAACTCATGGGTCGAAGCATTAACGTAATATTCAACAGTATACGATGGCCCCGAAGGTGAAGTTCGGCACCCAAATAGTTCGGTTTGAAATTCCGAGGGGCGATCTAAAGCGCGATTACTCCATTGAGTAGTCCAGGCCCGATACAGGGCCGAGGAGAATTCAGATGGGAATAAATAAGGCACGACTTGCCCCTCCTTGCAGTCTGCAGAGTTTTCCCCGAAGGATACTTGCCATATTGGAACTGCTGCTATTCCTCGAAGATACAGAGAGAAACTAATGTTTGGGCTATTTACGAGTATATTTATTAAATGTAATTTGGATCACTTGAACTGCACATTGTGCTGCAGCAGCTGCAGGATTCGCTCGTCGGGTGCCGCCCATTGGCAGTGGGGATACTGGGAGGTGCAGTGATGTGGCCTGGGATCCTTGCCGGCCTCGATGGCCTCGCGAAGGGTGGACTGCTCCAGCCAGCCGAGGATCCAGGACCAGTTGGTGGCCGCATCCAGCAGGTGATCCATGTCGGAGGCCTGCTGCTTGCGCACATTGTCGCTCGCCTTGAAGGTCAGGGTGCAGAGCGACTTGAGCAGGCAGGCGGACAGATCGACCTCGTTCCTGAAATACGTTCGCTCCACTGTGCTGAGCATACTGGGGAGGCTGCTCTCTGTCGGAGGGAAGAGTGGAGAGGGGAGATGAATAATTAGGGGCTAGAGGAGGGAGACGGAGGACCCACCTACTCGCTCGCCTGTCTCGTTGCGGTAAACGAGCTTGAACAACTCCAGGAAACCCCGATCCCTGTCCAGGAGACCTCGAGCCGTGGCATTGGTCAGCACCGCACCACCACCGGACGTGGACGAGGGGCTTTCCTCCGAAGACTTTGGCCTTCCACTCGTAGTGGGGCCAGGGCCAGGGCCATGGCCTGGCGAGTCATCCTGGGTGATGGCGTCCAGACCCATGCTGCGGATCAAGTGCCCAACGAGGAGTCCGCCAGCTGCCACGAGTCCGCAGCTGAGCACCGCCGCGGAATTGATTATGACCAGGGGCTGAAAGGGAGAGAGAGCGAAGGGGGATGAAGATGCACCATTGGAGGGAGGGTTGGGAAGGGGCCTACCTTTGGGGGTGCATTGCGTTTGCGCTTTATGGGCACCTCCAGGAAGGGCACCAGATAGTCCAGTCCCAGGGAAATGTGCTTGCCCACAGCGTCGAAGGATACCAGCTTGAATCCTGGACTGTGCGGACTGTGCGGCTTCTGCTTTGGGAGCCTAAAGTCACTCGAGGCGGATCCCTTCGGCTCCTCTCCCTCAGTGGCAGCGCAGATCAGGGCACAATTGGCCAGGAGAGCGCAGAGGATGTGCAGCACCTTCATTGTTTCCGCTGCTTCCGCTGGGAGCTCCGTTCGACTGCGGGGCTGGCGAGCATTTGAAATCCATTTGTCGTATTTCTTGCCCATGGTAATGGTATGGGGTGGCTCTGCTTGGGTGGAGTGGAGTGGGTGCTGGGTGCTGGGTGCCGCTTGGCTGCTCCTTGGCTGCGATAATTTGTCTTTGGTTTGGCTCCCGCTCCCCACCCTCTGCTGTTGCTGCTGCTTGTCAGGCAAACTGCAACAAAGTGCTTCTGTGACATAAGTAACTGGAGGAAAGGCGCGAAAACGATTAGCTGGAGAAAGAGTCGCTCTGTCGGTGGGTCGGTCTGTCCCACATGAAAGCGGAAGATTGCTGGATGGATGATGCTGACGAATTCGCTGTTACTCTCACTAATTGGAGGAGAGAGAGAGAGAGAGAGAGAGAGAATACTCGGCATTCATTCCCAGCATTACACAACAATAACAAATAATAAAACTAAACTACGAGTGAGAGTGCGAGGGAGGGTGAGAGGGGGAGTGGGAAATACTCGGAGAAGAATATTGATTGGCTGGCAACAAGGTTTGTGTTTGATAATCGGGGGGGGTAGCTGCCCCCGACTAACTTTTATTGGCATATCACTGGCCACTAGCAACAATAAATAAATTTGCCCGAACAGGGCTGTACATAAATAAGTTAACAGTAAAAAAAAAACATACACAAATAAATAACTAAACGTAGTTTGGGATGCTAGAAGTAGAAGTCATCCATTGAAGTACTGCAAGACTTTGGGCAACGTCCGCGCTGTCCAGGAGGAGTTTTGGGGCTTCCCGAGGGTGGGGAGTCTGCATCTGGCGTAGGTGCTGCCACAGGTCCGACTGCCACTGCTGTGTGCCGTTTGGATGGCGTGCACAACTGCAGTGCCCCTAGTGAGGGATTCCAGCCAGGGAGAGCTGAGGGAAGCAGAGCGGTCAGGTATCAATGGGAGGTGGCAAGTGGCAAGGGGCAAGGGGTACCTGGCGAGCAAGTGGAGAAGCCGCGCATAGCTGGAGGAGATATTGTGCTGCAGGTACTGGCAGATGTAGCGCTGGACACAGGCGGACATGTCAATGTTGTGCTCCTCCAGGTGGGACTCCACCACATTCGTTAGGCTACGCACTGTCAGGGGCAAGGGGAACAAGCAGGAATGAATAGTTGGAACTGGACTGCGTCGTTGCTTGCTTACTGCCTCTGGTGGTGTGATCCGATTTGTAGCTGTAACCGTTGCCGTTGCCCAGCGACGTGACCACCAGCGGAGCCAGGAGAAGGCGCACCACGGCTGCAATTACGGCTCCCGCAGCCACCACAACCGCCGTGTTGAGCAGCGTTCCCGTGCGCAGGTTCAGGAGGTTCTGCACTGCGTCCCGGGCCAGACTCATGCTGCGCTTCACCGGCACCCTAACGAATGGCACGATGAACTCCAGCTCCACGCTGACATCCTCGTCGCTGGCCTGAAAGTGAAAGCCGCGACCCTGCCGACCCACGCCCGAGTCCCTCTCCTCCGCGAAGGCCTCGCCCAAGTGGAAGTCCCCTGGCTGGCGGGGCTCAAAGTCCCGGAAGCGCAGCAGCCTCGCACTCGCATTGCCATAGAAGTCTCCGTTGACACTTTCGCCGCAGTAGCCGAGCAGCAGAAAGACCGTCAGCAGGCCCACAAAGTACAATATCTGCACCAGCCACATTCCGTCAGCTCGTGTTGCCGTCTCAGCGGTTCGAAGGTGCACAAAGGAATGAATGATCGCGGCTCGTGGCTCCGGCAACTAACCCCAAGCGTCTCCTCTCAGTCTCCCTCTCAGTATTACTCTCTGGGAATTACATGCCATGCCATGCTATGCCATGCCCGACGCTTCTGCAATCAAGATATGATATTCATTTAATCCGAATATGAAGCGTACAATGGGAGTGCGAGTGCCAGTGGGAGTGCCAGTGGGAGTGGGAGTGCCAGTGGGAGTAGAAGTGAGACTTTAACGCTTCGTGGGCTGGCTGAGAGAGAGGAACAGGGGGCATGTGAGCTGTGCGATGGGGGAGGGCAATGATTGATTCAATAATCAACAACTAAGGACAGACAACCCAAGACAACAGTGGCAAGTGGCAAGTGGCAAGTGGCAACAGGCCGCAACGGAAGCTCGAAAGCTAACGACTTATTAGAAAGACATTTGCAGGCGAATATGGGCTGGAAAATTTGCATACCAACACCCAGTTATGTCACCTCTCCTCCTCTTCCAGGGCCACTTGCAACGCGCCACAAAGGTTAGATAAACACGACCCGCAATTGGGCAATGGAATGGCCCAATAATAGCTGGATAACATACGTGTATTTGATGTGGGGTAAAGTGCGAGCATAACCACTTAAACGAGCTCCATGCTTAGGAGGGGGCTCTGCAGAGCGATGAAGGTTGGACGGCCAAACGGGAGGGTGGGAACCATGGGAACAATACTCGCAAGTAACACAGCCAACACAGTGATCGATGCTTTGCACGGTTGTTAGGGAGACAGGACGTTCTCGATTCTTGCAGTCGGCCAGCTGGACGCCTTCCTCAGCCAGTTTCCTTCGACGCCTTGGTAGCTGGGAACGGGAACATGCTTGCCCTGCTTGCCATGCTTGCCCTGCTTACCCTGCTTGCCATGTTTGCCCTACTTGCCCTGCTTGTCCTGCATGCCCTGCTTGCCCTGCTGGCCCTGCTGGCCTGCTTGCCCTTCTGGCCTCTTGGCTGTCTACAAGTAAGTTGACCACGTCACGTGTTCGATCTGTTGGCCGAGCAACCTCTGCAGCTTTGTTAATGGCGAAGACTTCCTTCCGCCCGGAATGTGATTCATAGCTTATGTGACAGCCTCTTCCCAGGCTCTGCACAGTAAATTGAAGCCCGCTCCTGCTCCTCCAACAGAGCTGTGCCTTGTGGCGACATGTTCCCCTGCACCACAGCAGTCTATCCTCTCTCCAACTGACAACGAAAACAATGAAAATCAATCAGAACTGCTCAAGGGATCATTGAGACATACATGGCATTGTAGGTAGTCTCTGCTTAGCCCAACTCCCAATATATCCACCCAATAAGGATGGAGCTTCGTACTTTACCCCACACGTATTACGCGTGTTATTGGGTGGGTACCCATCCAGCTATTATTGGGCCATTCCATTGCCCAATTGCGGGTCGTGTTTATCTAACCTTTGTGGCGCGTTGCAAGTGGCCCTGGAAGAGGAGCAGAAGAGGTGACATAACTGAGTGTTGGTATGCAAATTTTCCAGCCCATATTCGCCTGCAAATGTCTTTCTAATAAGTCGTTAGCTTTCGAGCTTCCGTTGCGGCCTGTTGCCGTTGCCTGTTGCCACTTGCCACTTGCCACTGTTGTCTTGGGTTGTCTGTCCTTAGTTGTTGATTATTGAATCAATCATTGCCCTCCCCCATCGCACAGCTCACATGCCCCCTGTTCCTCTCTCTGTCAGCCAGCCCACGAAGCGTTAAAGTCTCACTTCTACTCGCACTCCCACTCCCACTGGCACTCCCACTGGCACTCGCACTCCCATTGTACGCTTCATATTCGGATTAAATGAATATCATATCTTGATTGCAGAAGCGTCGGGCATGGCTTAGCATGGCATGTAATTCCCAGAGAGTAATACTGAGAGGGAGACTGAGAGGAGACGCTTGGGGTTAGTTGCCGGAGCCACGAGCCGCGATCATTCATTCCTTTGTGCACCTTCGAGCCGCTGAGACGGCAACACGAGCTGACGGAATGTGGCTGGTGCAGATATTGTACTTTGTGGGCCTGCTGACGGTCTTTCTGCTGCTCGGCTACTGCGGCGAAAGTGTCAACGGAGACTTCTATGGCAATGCGAGTGCGAGTGCGAGGCTGCTGCGCTTCCGGGACTTTGAGCCCCGCCAGCCAGGGGACTTCCACTTGGGCGAGGCCTTCGCGGAGGAGGTGGACTCGGGCGTGGGTCGGCAGGGTCGCGGCTTTCACTTTCAGGCCAGCGACGAGGATGTCAGCGTGGAGCTGGAGTTCATCGTGCCATTCGTTAGGGTGCCGGTGAAGCGCAGCATGAGTCTGGCCCGGGACGCCGTGCAGAACCTCCTGAACCTGCGCACGGGAACGCTGCTCAACACGGCGGTTGTGGTGGCTGCGGGAGCCGTAATCGCAGCCGTGGTGCGCCTTCTCCTGGCTCCGCTGGTGGTCACGTCGCTGGGCAACGGCAACGGCAACGGCAACGGATACAGCTACAGATCGGATCACACCACCAGAGGCAGTAAGCAAGCAACGGACGCAGTCCAGTTCCAACTATTCATTCCTGTTCCCTGTTGTTCCCATTCCCCCCCGACAGTGCGCAGCCTAACGAATGTGGTGGAGTCCCACCTGGAGGAGCACAACATCGACATGTCCGCCTGTGTGCAGCGCTACATCTGCCAGTACCTGCAGCACAATATCTCCTCCAGCTATGCGCGGCTTCTTCACTTGCTCGCCAGGTACCCCTTGCCCCTAGCCACTTGCCACCTGCCACCTGCCATTGATACCTGACCGCTCTGCTTCCCACAGCTCTCCCTGGCTGGACTCCCTCACCAGGGGCACTGCAGTTCTGCACGCCATCCAAACGGCACAGAGCAGTGGCAGTCGGACCTGTGGCAGCACCTACGCCAGATGCAGACTCCCCCGAGGGTGGGGAAAGCCCCAGAACTCCCCCTGGACAGCGCGCACGTTGCCCAAAGTCCTGCAGTACTTCAATGGATGACTTCCACTTCCAGTATCCCCCTCTACGTTTAGTTATTTATTTTTGCATGTTTTTTTTTACTGTTAACCTACTTATGTACAGCCCTGTTCGGGCCCATTTATTTATTGTTGCCAGTGGGCCAGTGATATGCCAATAAAAGTTAGTCGGGGGCAGCCACCCCCCCGACCATCAGACACAAACCTTGCTGCCAGCCAATCAATATTCTTCTCCGAGTATTTCCCCCTCCCCCTCCCCCTCCCACTCATCCTCGTAGCTTAGTTGTATTATTTGTTATTGTTGTGTAATGCCGGGAATGAATGCCGAGAATTCTCTCTCTCGCTCTCTCTCTCCTCCAATTAGTGAGAGTAACAGTAAATTCGTCAGCAATCTTCCGCTTTCATGTGGGTCCGACCCACCGACAGAGCGACTCTTTCTCCAGCTAATCGTTTTCGCGCCTTCCCTCCAGTTACTTATGTCACAGAAGCACTTTGTTGCAGTTTGCCTGACAAGCCGCAGCAACAGCAGAGGGAGGGGAGTGGGAGCGGGAGCCAAACCAAAGTCAAATTATCGCAGCCAAGGAGCAGCCAAGCGGCACCGAGCACCCAGCACCCAGCACCCACTCCACTCCACCCAAGCAGAGCCACCCCATGCCATTACCATGGGTATGGAATACGACAAATGGATTTCAAATGCTCGCCAGCCCCGCAGTCGAACGGAGCTCCCAGCGGAAACAGCGGAAACAGCGGAAACAATGAAGCTGCTGCACATCCTCTGCGCTCTCCTGGCCAATTGTGCCCTGATCTGGGCTGCCACTGAGGGAGAGGAGCCGAAGGGATCCGCCTCGAGTGAGTTGAGGCTCCCAAAGCAGCAGCCGCATGGTCCGCATGGTCCGCACAGTCCAGGATTCAAGCTGGTATCCTTCGACGCTGTGGGCAAGCACATTTCCCTGGGACTGGACTATCTGGTGCCCTTCCTGGAGGTGCCCATCAAGCGCAAACGCAATGCACCCCCAAAGGTAGGCCCCTTCCCCACCCTCCCTCCAATGGTGCATCTTCATCCCCCTTCGCTCTCTCTCCCTTTCAGCCCCTGGTCATAATCAATTCCGCGGCGGTGCTCAGCTGCGGACTCGTGGCAGCTGGCGGACTCCTCGTTGGCCACTTGATCCGCAGCATGGGTTTGGACGCCATCACCCAGGATGACTCCCCAGGCCATGGCCATGGCCATGGCCCCACTACGAGTGGAAGGCCAAAGTCTTCGGAGGAGAGCCCCTCGTCCACGTCCACGTCCGGTGGTGGTGCGGTGCTGACCAATGCCACGGCTCGAGGTCTCCTGGACAGGGATCGGGGATCGGGGATCCTGGAGTTGTTCGAGAATTTCAAGCTCGTTTACCGCAACGAGACAGGCGAGCGAGTAGGTGGGTCCTCCGTCACCCTCCTCTAGCCCCTCATTACTCATCTCCCCTCTCCACTCTTCCCTCCGACAGAGAGCAGCCTCCCCAGCATGCTCAGCACAGTGGAGCGAACGTATTTCAGGAACGAGGTGGATCTGTCCGCCTGCCTGCTCAAGGCCCTCTGCACCCTGACCTTCAAGGCGAGCGACAATGTGCGCAAGCAGCAGGCCTCCGACATGGATCACGTGCTGGACGCGGCCACCAGCTGGTCCTGGATCCTCGGCTGGCTGGAGCAGTCCGCCCTCCGCGAGGCCATCGAGGCCGGCAAGGATCCCAGGCCACATCACTGCACCTCCCAGTATCCCCACTGCCAGTGGGCGGCACCCGACGAGCGCATCCTGCAGCTGCTGCAGCACAATGTGCAGTTCAAGTGATCCAAATTACATTTAATAAACATACTCGTAAATAACCCAAACCCATAACCCACCAGCAGCAGTTCCAATATGGCCAGTATCCTTCGGGGAAGACTCTGCAGACTGCAGAGGATGGGCGGGCAAGTCGTGCCTTACTTATTCCCATCTGAATTCTCCTCGGCCCTGTATCGGCCTGGACTACTCGATGGAGTAGTCGCGCTTTAGATCGCCCCTCGGAACTTCAAACCGAACTATTTGGGTGCCGAACTTCACCTGCGGGGCCATCGCATTCTGTTGAATATTACGTTAATGCATCGGCCCATGAGTTTCACTCTCGCTAGACTTCGTACTACCTTTGTCTCGTACGCCTTCCGCTCCATGGGACTCAGCTGGAGCCAATTTCGGACGGCATTCCGCATGAACACTTTCGCGTTGAAAGATTGAAAGCAGCGAAGGTAATTGATAAATGGGCTGCTCGATTGATGCTTCCTTGGTGGCTGCCTCTTCTGATGACCCGCTTTTTGTGCCTTTTGTGTCTTTTGTGCCTTTTGGGGCTTCTTTGGCCTAGCCATGGCTGCCGACTGCTGATCAATTTTAACTAATGAATTTGTGGGTTGATCACAGTAAATTTGCAGTTAACTGGGAATTTCGAGGGGGTTTTACACTATTTAATAAATATAATAAATAAATTGAAGTGCTCTAGCACTCTGCTCTCTACTGTTTCAAAGGCTGCTTGGGGTCTGAATAAATGCTAAACCATCATAGAAGCAGTGGTTCAGGCTGTTAGGAGGATCTAGATATATCTGCAGCTCTGCAGCAACCCATCAGAAGACCAGAGCTGAAGCAGCGAGTGGTAAGTGGGCTATGTGCCAGCGAGTATTAGTCATTCCTTAATCCTAACCCAAAGCCATTCCCGATTTCAAACACACACAGACAGCACAGAGCTATGTAGTTTATGCATTTATTTATATAATATGATGAAATCAATTCGAAAATTAATCTCTCAAAATGAATTCTATGACACTTTTGGTTATACAAATGGATTTAAAAAAAAAAAAAGTTTCTTTGTTTTGTTTTTTTTTTGTGTTTTGTTTTGTGTACATAATTCTCGTTTAACTAAAAGGAAAGAAGAAGACATCATGCGACATGAAATTAGCATCAGATTGGATACATGTATGTATATCCAAAATACATATGTATATATATGTGCATATGTATGTATGTATGTATATATGGGTATAAGTTTAAGTAAATTGTCAGCCAATTTCATGCATCTATTTATGTATGTAAATATATGTATGTATGTATGTATGTATATGTAGATAGATATATGTATGTATGTAGATCAGTTGTCGGCGCCTTAAATTAGGTTTCTAAACGTTTTGAAATCGAAATAGAAAAAAAACGTGAAGACGATAGTAGTACAAGTATAAAAAAATATTCTTCTCCTCTTTTGTTTCGGCTTCAACTTACTTCTGGTTTATGTATATCAAAATATATGTATGGTAGTATCGACATTACTACATCGATCTACTATATCCTCAACCTGGCCAGCAGTGTGTGTGTGTGTGTGTATTGTTAGATTATTTGATTTGCTGATTTGATTTGATTTGATTTGTAGGTGGAAACAGGAAGAGGCAACAAGAGTGCTTACATTTTTGAATCAATGCATTTCTATATGCATATGTACATCTGTTTGATTACAAAAATATTTTATGTATGCATGTATGTATATATTATGTACTATGTCCCCTGCCCGTCTGGATTGCTTTGCGAGTTTGAACTGTTTCAAGAGTTTTTTTTTTCGTTTCATTTCCTATCTTTTCTTTTCTTTTCTTTTTTTTTTTTTGTGTAATGTTCTCTGATGTTGGGTGCACCATTATTGGAAAATATTTTGTATATCTGTATATGGATATGTTTTTTTTTTTTTGCATTTATAGTTAGTTTTCTAGTTTATTTATTTTATTTTTAGTTTGTGTGAATTTTTGCATAGTTTTGGAATGAAGTTCTGTGGGAATCAAAAAAAAACAACAAATATACATAATGTTTAATGCTGAAGGCAGAATCAATCAAGACTTTTGGAATCGGTACGCAGTATGATGGGTATATGTATGTATGTATGTATAGCTCATATAAAACGAGTATATGTTATGCAAATTAGGTTAAAGGCCCTCGTTCAACCATAATTCATGTACATATATTTCTGTTGGGATAGATGGTTAGCTTTTATGGGTACATATATAAAATATATAGAAAAAGTATACAAAACTAAAGTATTTGAAATCGTTTTCAAATCGAATTTCTGGCATAAGAAGCATTCCTTAGTCACTAGGGTAAGTAAATGGATTTATTATTATTCCTACAATAAATGTATGTATGTATGTATGTATGTATAGTGTGTATATGGGATCATGGTTATTTGTTTTTCACGTTTGTTTCTCTTGTTGCCATTATCATTGATTTAATAAGATATATTTAGTATTGTATTGTATTTCTTCTGTCCTTAGAATTCTTCACTCTCTCACATTTTTGTTGTTAAATTTTATTTTAAATATCACGGCATTCAGCTGAGGTCTGATCTGATCTATTTTATTACTCTTCTATGTATGTATATTTTGTAGTTATGTTTCAACACTTTTCCTTTTTCGTTTTTGTTGCTTTTGCATTTCACAATTTTTTTTTGGGAGGGGTTGGGGGGTACAGTTAATGGGTAGGATATACTCGCACAATTCATATATAAAAAAAACAAATAAAGGTTAAGGAAACAAACAAACAAAAAATATCTGTGGTGGAGAGGCTTTCTCCGGTTGCGGCTATGGACTAAATAATGGACTAACTAAGAGACGCCGCGGATAATGCCAAAACAAAATTAAACTAGACACAGATAGACACATTAAGATAAAGATACAAACATACCGTTACCGATACAGATACAAAAGGATTCACAACGATAAAAAAATGTTCTAAAAGATCAAGAGCCGGGGAGCTTTGCTTAGGGCTCCTCGACTGCATTGGGCTGAAGGATCTGCGCACACAGGCGCCGCAAGTAAAAGTTGCTACCAATCCGCCCACCGACCTCCGCCCTGTGCTGGAGTCGTCGCTGGGCGGCCGGCCGCTGCATTAACTCTCACAAATTCTCTCTGCGCATCGACCTCCTCTCCTGAAAGCCCCCATCCACCGCCTCATCGTCGCCCTCGTCGACCGCATCCAGATCGACTTCCACCTCCAGTTCAGTGTCTGGCTGCGCTCCAGCACCAGCACCAGCACCAGCACCAGCTCCAGCGACTCTAGCGGCCAGACCACTGCTCACCGCCGTACTCTCACTGAAATGCATCAGGTTGGTGTCCATCAGGCCCAGGCCATTGGTGAGGCTGAGCGGCGGCGAGGACTGTGAGGGTGGCCCCTCCAGTGACAGGCGGCTGTTGGTGCTGATGCTGCTCAGGCTCAGCTGGTCGTCAAAGACCTCGATGTTCACCACCGTCGACAGTTCGCCGCCATCGTAGGCCACCCGGGTCACCTGGACGGGCTTTGGGGCCGGTTGCTGCTCGGCTACACCCAACGAAGAATCAACAACAGACTCCTGCGATTTCTGGGATTTATAATGTTTGCCCATGGGCATGGCATTTATATTGGGATTTAAATTGTTGTGTTTGTTGGTGCCGCCTTTGCCTGGCGAGAAGATTATATTGTTGTTGTTGTTGTTGTTATTTGTTATGTGTGACAATCCATCCAGTTGATCCTTGGTAAAGTAATTGGCTGTGGAATAATGTGGAGAAAGGTTGGAATGTGATTAGAAGCCAGGATATATGTATATGTGTAGCAGATACTATGAGACATTATTATTAATATTATTCCCACTCTCCCTCTCCCATCCAATTTAGAAAATATTCTCAGTGGCCTTTTTGGTTGTTTTTAACTAAAATTGCATTTATTTAATCATACATTAATTCATTAAATTAAATTTGAGTGTTTAGCGATTCCTCTTGCTCTCCATCCATTGTCCATCCATCAACTCTAACTCTCCTCTTACTCTCAATCGTAAATCATAAATACTGCCAGTTAGATTTTACATATTTATTTTTCGTACAACACGATATATACGAGATATATATATATATATACAGAGAACAAATGATTTCCTTCCTTTTTACAGACAAACAAAAATTAAAAACAAAAACAAGGGACAAAAAAATTATAATTATATGAGAAAAAATTCTATCGTTTCTATTCAAATCAATAAATTAACACAAACAAAAAAAAATAGCAAAAAAAGAGACCGCCTTGAGTGCGTGATGGGGGCTGGGGGGTGTTGCGTGTAAAAAAAAAACTTGACGAAAGCTTGAACAAGTAGGGATAAAACTTAAAGCAAGCCAAAATTGTTGATAGGTTCCAAGCAATTGTGACATGCGATGATAATGTTTCGCGACAGTTGGGGAAAACGCCAGTAAAATGTTTTGGCCATTTTGTTCTTGAGTGGTTGCCATGGATGGGATTACGCTCTCTGTTTATTGATGATTATGATGAAAATTCGTTGCACAACGATACTGTTTGTCATCAAATGTAGAATATAAATCAAGCGTAAAATTGCAGCACATCAGAAGTACATACATATGTATATCAGAAATACATGCATGGATCTTTAGTGTACCATTCCATACAAATTTTAAAGGTACGAGAATAAATTGATTGGTATACTTTGAGGAATACCTTCCGATTGGAACGAGGCTTGTACAGCTTTAAATTAAAAGTACATTGCAGTACATGAAAGGTGTCTTTCTGCGTGTCTCAAAACTGGCTCAAATGGGTAAATATGCTGGCCTCAAATTCATTATCTCTGGCCAACTGGTTGGAACCACAAGCTATATGCGTGAGGTGGCTTAGGTGGGGGGGCAGGAGCATGTAGATTTTATGGATTTCCAGATGGAAATAGGGCATTCTATTATTGCGTATTTATTACATCCTTGTGTTTTTTTTTTTTGGAGCTTAGTACTTTTTTCGGATTATTTAGTACTTTCTTCTGGGTATTTTTGTTGTTGTATGTACAATTATTTTTTTGAGAGCATTTTTGCAAATTCTGTTTTGTTTGATTCTGGGATCATTTTTTAAGCCTAGGCCTTTATATATAGAAGTACATACATAGAAGTGTGTGTGTGTGTGTGTGTGTATACATACATATATGTATATGTATATTTTTGTTTTGTTTTTTAAAGATGTATAGCTCTAACAATATAACTTTTGCACTTAAAAATGGTTAGTAATCGATTTATGTATAGTTTTTTTTTTTGTAAAATTTTTCCTTTGCTTTTTTGTCCAAACAAATCTCTACAGATGTAAATTTAATTTGTTTTGGTTTTTGTTTGTTTTTAAATATTATTTTTTACAATTAGTTTTTGTTTTTTTTTTTTTTTTTGTTTTGTTTACTTTTATAATCACAATTTTTTTTTGTAGAGAGTTTTGTGTTTTCTTGTGTTTTTTTTTTGTTGTTTTCTTTTGTTTTGTTTTGTTTTGTTTTGTTGCTTTTGTGGTGATATTTTGCTGGCAAACAACAGCCAAAGAATTAAGCTAGAATCTTTCGTGGTTGGGAGGGGAACGGTGTGTTTGCGTGTACGGTGTTGTGTCATCATCTCTCTCTATTTATTCTGAAACATAATTTTGGCCAAATGGCTTGCTGCTGTTCGATTGCGGAGCTTTGTTTGCTGCTGTCTTTGGGTGTTGTTGTAGCTCCTACTTGGCTCTGGCACTGGCACTGGCAATGTCTTTGACCGATAGTTGCTGCCGCTGCTGCTGATCCTTATCGTGGTCCGTCTCAGACTGCTGCTCGTGGCGCTGTGATTGCTCTACGGCTGCCTGCACCTCCGTTGGCGGCTCCTGGTGGAGGCTACTAGCACTCGCAGTCCCACTCGCACTGGCACTGGCACTGGCACCGGCACCTCTCTCCTGGTTTGCATACAGATGCCAGAGCACAACGAGACTGAAGACGCACAACAAACAAATCGCTAATTCTTATCTCTTGCGCCGCTTCGTCTTCTTCTTTGTGGCACTCGCCTGACTGGCCACGCCCATGCCCACAGTGGAGCCCACATGGAGGCCCACAGCGGGGGAACTGGTGCCAGTCGCGTTAATGCCAGAGCTCGCCGCCGACGCACCGCCCGAGTTGGCCGACGTGGCTGTGGCTGTGGCCGTGCCCGCAGATGGATTCGTATCCGAATGGGAGGCACTGACAATGGGACTGGCCGTCTCCACGCTACTCTCCTCCGCGGATGAAGTGGACGAGGAGGTGGCCGCCTCGATGGCGGCTATCAGATTGATTTTATGCTCCAGCTTCTTGGTCTTGAGCTTGTGCGGCGGCGAAGCGGCTGTGGATGAGCTATAGACGAGATTGTCATCGGATGTGGTGGCCGGAATGGGTCCCTCGCTGTCTGTTGTGGTTGCGGTGTTCGTTGTGGCAGTGGTACCGCTGGTGGCCACGCCACTGCTCCCAAAGTGGAGCAAATCCTCCGGCAGTGTTTGGCTCAGCTCCTCCTCTTCCTCTTCTTCCTCCCCTCGCCCTCCTCCTCATCGTCATCCGCATCCGCATCCGCATCGGCTGGCTCCTCGGTGCCTCCTCGATTGGCCTTTGATGCTTTGACGGGCGAATGGATCTCCAGCTGGGAGTCGCACATACTGATGCTGATAAGCGGACGAAGTTCCTCATCCTCTGTCTCCTGCTCTCTGGCACGTTCTTTCTCCCTTTCCCTCTCTCTTTCCCGCTCTCGCTCGCGCTCTTTCTCGCGCTGCTGCTGCTGTAGCTGGAGCTGCTTCATTCGTTTGTGCTTCTTGCTGAGCTTCTTGCTGGTTGGCTCCTCCATCAGGATGATCTCCTCGGAGCCGGATGAGTTGTTCGACGTGGATGTGGATTTCTGCATGCCCAGCGGCGTCTGCTGTTGGTCATCTCTGGCCATTAGCAGCACATACGGATGGGGCTTCAGTTCCAGTTCCATTTCGGGGTCTTCCAGCTGCCGCTCTCGAGCCAGAGCCCGAATCCGATCCCTCTCCTGCTCCTGCTCGTCCTCATAGTGCAGGGATCCGCAAAGGGCCAGCACAAGGTTCTTCTCGGTGAATCCGCGTGGCGGCGGCGTGATCTTTATCGGCATCACCGTCGTCGCACTCTCCTGCAGCGGACTCTCGAAATTGATCAGACTGAGCGACGACCCACCCTCCGGGATGAGATGCGGCGGCTCATTCGCCTTCACCTCGAGCGGCTCGAGATCGGGCAGCGGTGGCAGCGACTCCATGCCACTCAGAAAGTCCTCAAAGTTCTCTTTGGCTGCTCGGGGCTTTGCCAGCGGGCTTGCCTTTGCAGGGGAAGGCAGCTTCTCCGGGCTGCTGGGCTTACTCTGCTTCTTGCCCAGCGTCGGATAATCCTGCTGCACCGCCGACAGCTGCTTGGGAGTGCTCTCATCGCTGACGACACCGACTCTCTTCCAGGGACTGGACTGGACCGCTGTGGCAACGGGGGTGGCAGCCAAAGGTCTCCTGTTGCTGGGAGCAGATTCCTCTATCACTTTTACCAGGTAGCTCGACGTTGGTGGTGAGATCTCAGCTGCTGCTTTGCCCTTCTCCTGGCTGCGGATCTTGTCTTTTTCTTTGTTTTTCTCCACGAGTTTCTCCTTCTCCTTTTCGAGCTTTAGCATCTCCTGAAGTTTCTCCTTCTCTTTGAGTTTCTCCTTTTCCAGAAGTTTTTCCCTTTCGAGGCGAAGCTTCTCTTTCTCCTTTTCTTGGAGCTTCTCCTTTTCCAGCTTTTCCTTTTCGAGTTTCAGCATCTCCTTCTCTCTTTCTCTTTCCTTCTCTTGCAGTTGCACTGCTTTTCCTTTTCTAATTTCAGCTTTTCCTTCTCCTGGAGCCTTTCTTTTTCCAACTTCAGCTTTTCCCTCTCGAGCTTCAGCTTTTCCTTCTCTTGGAGCTTCTCCTTCTCTCTTTCCTTCTCTTGGAGCTGCTGCTTCTCTTTCTCTAGCCTCAGCTTCTCTTTCTCCTTTTCCTTTTGCCTTTCCAGCTTCTGCTTTTCCTGGATAATCTCCTTCTCCCTTTCCAGCTTTAGCTTTTCCCTCGCTTGAAGTTTGTCCTTTTCCTTCAGCCTCTCCTTTTCCTTCTCCTTCTCCCGTTCCTTGGCTTTTTCTTTCTCCTTTTCGATTGTCATGGTTTGCTCCTTCACATCATCATCATCTTCATCATCTTCAGCCTCCTCCTCGGTATCATCCTCCCCCGTCTGAGTGGTCGTCTCCACAAGAAGACTCAATCCTTGGGCGCTGGCACTGCTCACCATGACAGCGGCAATGCTGCTCTTATTGGCCAGCAAACTATCGGCATGGTCCGAGTCTCGCTCTGGGTCTGGCTCTGCCTCCGCCTCTGATTCCTCCCCACCCTCTTCCATGACTACAACTATTTCATCTAGATCCTGCTGGATAAATTTATCCTGCGTTTGCAGCTCCTTCAACTGCTTCTTGAGCTTCTCCTCCACGGCAGGCAGTTTCTTTTCTGCTCCCTTGCTGCTGCTGCTGCTGCTGCTGCTGTTGGGGGTCATCTTCTGCTTGCCTTTCTTGGATGCCTTGCCACCAATGCTGATGGTCAGAGTGGCATTGACTTCCTCCTCCTCCGCGGTGGCGTTCCTCGGACTGCTGGCAGTTTTGCTGTTATTGCTGTTGTTGCTGGCACTCGGATTAGCCCCTCCTTTGGGCTTATTGAGATGCGAGAGCTCGGCAAATCGCTGCGCCTGGGCCGCATCTTCGGCAGCGGCCAGGGATTTGAGCTGCGATTTCTGCTGCTGCGCCTTTTGGTGCTGGGACCTCTGTGACTTTTGCTTTTCCTTTTGGACAAGCACCTCGTCCACCTCCTTGGCAATGACGGGCACAATTAGCTTATTGGCCAGCACCACCGGCGGCTTGCAGTGATCATTTTCGCCTCCCTTCGAGCCCGATCCCCCCAAGCCAGCGGCAGCGGCCGCCTGCTCCTCCTTGGCCAGCAACAGCTGCTGCTGATGGTTGCGCTGCTCGACGAGATCGTTGCAAAAGATGGCCACCACCGGCCGAAAGAGCGCCTCGTCACAGTTCTCATGGATGATGCTCTCCTCGGCGGCCAGCTGGCATACCACCTCGTCCAGCATGTCCGTCTGCAGCTCCCCCGAGATGCCCGCATTCACGTCCGTCACCGTGCCCAGCGGATTGACGATCTTCTCGATCCTGGAATGGCCGCCGCTGTAATGATGTCCGCCGGTGGGATAATCGTAGCTGCATATGTTGGGCAGCACCGAGGCCAGGGCGGCCATGCTGCTGCTGCTGTTGGGGCTGCAGTCGTTGGCTAATCTCATGTGCTCGATCAGATGGCGTCGCTCCACCTTGGCCAGGGCCCTCGCCTCCGGTACCGTCAGTGCCGCCTCATCGCTCAGATCCTCCTTATGCGGTGCCTCACCTCCTCCCACCATGTCGGGATCGTGATCAGGATCGTTCAGGTGCTCGTGCTCGGCGAGGGCGTCATAGTAGCAGACATTATCGCTGGCCGAGACGGAGGAGGAGGCTGCCGCCGCCACGGAAGCCAAAGCCGAAGAACCTGATGGCTGGCCTGTGGCAGGTGGTAGTAGTGGTGGTGGGTCAACAACGGTGGGGCAGGACATAACACAGAGCAGAGAAAGAGAAATAGAAGAGAAAACAAATTATGAAAAAAGCGCATTTTTTTTTTTTTTTTTTTTTTTTTTTTTTTTTTGGTTCATACAGGAAACAGAAAACAAAAAGCCAAAGGCGGGATTTTTAAATGCATTTCATTTTTTTTTTTTCGTTCATTTGCTTTGTGGGTTTTGTCTATCGATAGTTCGATTAATTGGATTAACGCTCGAAATTTGAAAATGTTTAATTCAAAATGAAAATCGCTTAATTTTATTTTATTTGCATTTGTTGTTGTTTAAGTGATTTTTAACCTTTTATTATTTTAATTTATTTTTTGGCTAAGCAGCGCTGCAGAATGCGTTTTTTTTTATTAGCATCGGTTGTCGGAAAAATGAAAAACTGTGGCGGAAAACACTCAAAATTAAAAATATTTTAAAGCATTGGAAAAACCAACAGAAATAAACAAAATAAATTCAAATTCGAAAAAAGATAATGAAAATTCGCGGGAAATACATTTTCTTTGGATTTTAGGAATTAAAATTTAATTTTGAGGTTTTTTTTTTTTTGCAACTATTTTTTTTTTTTAGTGTTTGAAACGAAACGAAAAATAATTAAACTTAAATTATGAAAATAGTGTAGGGACAGAATTTGGATAAGAACAAAATAAATATTTTTTGGATTTTTTTTTCTCGTGAATTTTTGGAATTTTTTCTTTGTTTGGTTATGACTTTGGCTTTTTATTAAAATATTCATGTATATTAAATGTGCTCTTTCCCCTTTACTTTTCTCTCTCTCTCGCTCTCTTTCTCCATCTCTCTCTCTCTCTCTTTCTCGCTCACACAATCGCTTTCTATCTCTCTTTCACGTCTCTTTGATGATTTAGCTTTCTCTCTCGCACGCTTTAGGGAACATTTTGTTTTTTTGTTTTCTTTGTTGAAAATTGCAGGAAAAAAAGGAAAAAGTTAAAACTAAATACAAATAAAAAATAAAAAAATCCCTGTCAAAAGGATATTCCAAGCGGCAAGAAGAAGTAGAAAGTGAATAAAGGACAACAGTTCGTGATGTGGTGGGGCGTGGTGTGGAAGGTGTGGTGTGTGTGCTGGCTGGGTGATCTGTGGTGTATTTGTGGTGTAAAAGGGCGTAGGCGTAGGGCAGGCAGTAGAAGGAAGCAGTAGAAAGGATAGAATCTGGGTGTTGTCTGGAAAGATTGTTCAGTGATGTGAAAAAAGAACTGTTGCGGGCGGGCGGGGGGTTTTCTATGGCATTGGTGAGTGGTGCGGTAGAGGGAGGGCTCTGCTGTGACAAAAATTTTGTTAGCTTAAATTTAGATTTTCATTAAATTAGAAATAGATTTAAAATGAAGTGTAAGTATCTTTGTTTTGTTTGTTTTGGTTTTGTTTTGGTTTTTTTTTTGAAAGAGGACACACCACCAAAAGAAAGAAATCGTTTGTTAAGCGTGTTTTATTCCGGCTAGAAAACAGAACATTTTGCAAAAACTTAAAGTTCAATAACAACAACAACAACAACAGCACACCAACACACACGCACACGCACACACACTCACACAGAGAGAAAGTAATGATTGGAGGGAGAGAAGAAAGATGGGAGATGGAAATGAAATGGAGGAATGGGAATAGGAGAGATGAAGTAGAAAATGCCAAGGGATCTTTGTGGGGGGGGGCGGGAGGTAAATGGATGGATCATCATCATAATTATTATTATCAACAACCAACAATCAAATGCCAATTTGTGGTGTCTTTTTTCTCATAATCAATGCATGATTATTTTCTTAATTTTTTTTTGTTGTTTCACTTGTATTTGCTGACCACCAACAAAACTTATCCGGAATTAAACATTTTCATTTTGAAAGCGTTCGCTTAAATTCAACGAAAAAATTTTGCACTGTCCAAAAACAGTTTTAAAAATTAAACAACAAAAAATCAATGAAAATTAAAATTAAAAAAAAAATTAACAATGAGAATACCAACGCCTTAGATGGAATGGTATGCCTGCGGAAGAAGGGGTATCCCCCTGCAGCAACAAAAGTCTTGGCTGTCTCGCGATTTCATGCATTCTTATTATATTTCTATGGCTAAGATGATTAGCTCATTCTTACCCGTTTCGCGTCGTGTGGCTGCCATTGATGGCGACTCTCGCATGGCATCGGCCAGGTCCTCCTTTAGCCGTGTATCGCCATGTCCATAGTCCGAGTCCAAATGGCCATGTCGGAAGCGATCCATAAGCTTGGGGCTCTGCTCAATGCTACCTAAGAGTGCCACAGAGAGCGAGAGAGAGATGGAATGAGTGAGAAAAGTGAAATCAGCGATCAGGAATCCCAGACACTTACTATACGAACCGGATTCGATAAGCACCGGCACACCAGGACCAGTACGACTTGTAGTGCTTCCCACGCCAGAGGCGGCAGCCAGAGAGGCGGCGGCCGCATTCAGTGGCATATTCAGGGGACTCGAACGTTCCTTGGCCGCCACTCCAGTTGCTACGCCAGCAGCGCCAGTGGACGAGGCAGCCGCCGTTGAGGGTAGCGTTGTGGTTGTTGTCTTTGTAACCCCAATCTCCACAGCCTCAGCATCCACATGATTCAAATTTGAGCTGAGAAATTGGAGAAGATGGGGAGACATAATAACAGAAAATATCCAGCCAGGTGGCAATCGTATCCCACATACCCGCTGGGCGTATTGTAGTTCTTAAAAACAAACTGGGGCCCCATCCAGAGGCGTCGATGGGGTCCCGCATGCGTTATGATCTCGACCTGGGCCAACCAGCTCTCGGCACGCTCGTCGGGCTCATCGAATTGATGGGCACTGTCCAGCAGCAGGCTGCCATGGCGATCCTTGATCAGCCAATTGTCCAGTGCCAGCGGTGGTATGATTTCATGAGATCCATCCTTGCGTCGCCCCAGATTCCATTGGGCTCGGGCCTCCACCTCCAGTTCAATGGGCGTGTCATCACAAATCTTCTCTTTGGCAACATCTGAAAGCATAAATCATTAGACAGGGATGGATGCGGTGCGGTGCGGGCCACTCACTTGAGGGTAACTTCGTGTCCAGATCGTACTGGATGAGCGCTCCATGGCCGGCCATCACGAAGAGCGAGTCGACGGCCTTGCGCTGGACGCGATGCGGTGCCTCTCGTGTTGTCGTCAGCGGCTCCAGCAGCCAGGAGCGTGATTTGGCGAATATTGAGCAGACGCTCAACGGCTTTCCGCTGTCATCCGACAGCGAGGAGAGTCGCTGTCGCTGTCTCTGGCTGCTGTTGCCGCCACCGAGGCCGCCGCCAATGCCGCCTCCATGGTTCCCCACACCAATACCCCCGCCGACGCCGGCCCCCACGCCCACTACGCCCCCAAGGCCGCCAGCCGAACCAGGCGGCGAGCCAAGGGTAAAGGGCTGTCGCAGCTGAGCGAGGGGCTGGACCACCGACGGCCGCGGATAGGGGGGAAGCGTGGGATTGTGATACGGCTGCAGCGACTGAACAAATGTGGTGCTCTCCGAGTGCGAAATGGGGGAACTGGAGCGTCCATCGGCCCCAAGGCCGGCACTGCGATGGAAGCGCGACAGTTTGTTTACCACATGCAGCGATGTGTGCGTCCGTACGCCCATGGCGCCGCCGTAGGGCGTTATGGGGAAGACGTGGGTGGTGCCGCGCAGCGTGGACACGGACGCCCAGCGCGAGTCCAGCGAGAAGGCAATGTGCTGCACCTTGGCGCTCGTGTCGCCCCGATGCAGCACATATAGATGATGCACGGCCGCCAGGCAGGGCCCCACCGGATGCGGTTGCACGCGGAAGACATGAAAATCGTGTCCGCGTCGATCGGCCGTCAGCAGCAGCATCCCCGAGCTGTCGAACTCCATGGCCACCAGTGCCTCGCTGTGGGCCACAAAATGTGCCACAATCGGATCACCGCCAGCCTGGGCGCCGCCTGTAGAGCTCAATGGTGTGCCCGTCGTGGGGCTGTAGTCCTTGACAGGATGCTGAAATTGTTGAAGCATTGCATGAAATTCGTACTTCGAAGCTTTGGCGGGTCGACTCTCACCTTCACATCGATAATGGTGACCACGCCGGACTGCTTGGCATCCGGACCCCCGCTGGCCGAATCGAAGCTGCTGCTCTTGGAGCTGGCACCGCTGCCAGCCGTGGCCCCAGTCAGACCAGCGGCCACCTGTTCGCCCAGCTCTCGCAGACCCTTGCCCAGCGATTTGGCCGCATTCAGCACAGTGGCCGTATAGCTGGGCACACCCTCGCCATCGCAGCCACCGCCGCTGCGCTTGGAGTGAAGCAGCTTGTGCTCTGCATAGGCCAACCAGCGTGGTCCCAGGGCAATCGGATTGGGATTGATTCTGCAAACGGGGAAAAAAGACGACCAATGAAAAGCCTGGCCAATGGCAAAGTCATGGGCATTCGCACACTTACCCCGGACTGGGATAGCAGGTTGTGATGGTTAGGCGATCCTCCAGGGTGCGGGCATCAAACACGGCGATCCTTTCATGGAACGTAATGACCACCGCCGATCGATTGGCCTGGATATCGAGCACCGCATTCTTGAATTTGATTGTCTTCACCTGAACGCCCGTCTTGAGCGACAGAAAATTGACGGCACTGAACTGGGCCACGCCAGAAGCACTGCCACCGCTGCCAGAGCCGATACCACCGCCGCTGACCCCACCGATGCCAGAGCCGCCGCTGCCGCCGGACAGAAAACCGCTTGCCGCCGCACTGCCACCATCGACGAGGGCCACCAGGGGTCGCTTCTCGGCGAAGGCATCCACTGGCTCATCGGCCCGCCCGTTCTCATCGAGGGCGGCCGCCGTGGCCGGTGTGGGCAGCACTCGGAGGGCTGTGACGACGCCATGGCGCCAGGACAGCACCTCAACTGCCTCCCCGTTGGCGGGTATGGCCCAGACCTGCACGCCCAGGCCATAGCCGAGGATGAGGAGAAGCGGCGGGGCAGCATTACCCTCCAGTTCCCAGTCATCGCCGAAACGGGGATCGCTCACGTCCGCACAGGTCTCGAAGCGGGCCCAGGTGATCGTGTCCTTGGGATCCTGCACCGGCTGATTGGCCAGGGTGACATCGTTGATGAAACCAATGGCCGAGTCAAGTATCGAGCGATCCGATACCGTCTGGGGCGGCACAATGGCCGGCACAGCCAATCCACCGCCGCCACGCAATCCACCACCTCCGACACCGCCACCGCCGGACGGATGGCGGCGTGGCGAGTCCGCGGACATGATGTGGGTGAGATTTTTGTGGTTATCGGGTCGCTTGGAGTGCTACGCGTTGTCTGGCTCTCCTCTAAGCACGCTGCTCTCCACAGCTGCGGCTGTCGGGTGGCGGGTGAGTGGATGGGTGGGTGCTCCCACACTGGCAGCAGGGTCAGCTGTCTGCTACTGGCTGCTACTCTTGATGCTACTCGTCAGCGTAGAGACAGCCTGTCTGTGCAATCTGGAATGGGAATGAGCGCTGCTCAGCCTCTGCCTCTGCTCTGCCTCTTCCTCTACGCTGCTCTGCCTCGGCGCTGCTCTGCTGCCTCTCTGAATCTCTTCTCTATTCCCACGACGCTGCTGCTGCTGCTGCTTCTGCCACTGTTGTCGTCAACTGCAAGCAAAAAGTGAACGAAAAAAAAAAAACATTGAATAAAACAAGAAAGAGAAAGGTAAGCAACATCGGAGACCGAAGCGATTGATACCCTTGAATTGTTCATATACTCCTGCTATTCGGATATTTCTGTAACGTAACGTAACGTAAGACCCGTGTTGAGCGAAGCCTAGGTGTACTTTTATTCTTTTTAGCATTCCCTTCCAAACATAAGAGATCTACCGCTCCCTCTCACGCACACTCACACACACTCACACACGCTATTTCACTCCATTGCACTCTCTCGTTGTACATGCACATATTTCATAGTTTCTTTAGTCTTTTCCATTTTGTTCTGTTTTTCCCTTTGTCTCAATCGAATTACTTTTAATCTTTGCACAGCCACAACCCCCCCTGCACCGCTCCACAGCTCAAGCACCTCCCGCACGTATGCACATTGCCCAGCCTTCCAGACCTGCCTCTCTCTTTCTCTTCTGCTCTTACCACTTTATTAGCGCATTACGTGTGTTCTTTTTTTGCTTGTTTGTATACCTGTCTCTTCCCCTCTATCTCTCCTCTCCACTGCCCTACACACCCATTGTCAATTTCAATTCCATTGGGGCGTAAATTGAGTGCAATAAAACAAAATATATACACATGTATATATAAATAGTATATACAACAAATTTGACAAATCAAACAACGCAAAAAATTAAACACAACAACAGCAACAAAATGAAAACACTTAAAATGCAAACAAAATTAAAAAATAAACGCGTCAGGTCATTGCAAGCCTCAGTTACCGTTACCGTTATAGTTTAAGCTTCCAAGCTTCAATTTGGTTTAAGAGATTTATTTGCCAGCTTTGTTTCCAGCTTAAATTTAAGCTGCAAGCTAGGTAAACAAACAAACAGTTAACACACCACAAAGAGAAGCCAGCGATAAGCATTTATTATTCCCTTTACCATTAAAAACGGCAGCAACTGTTGGATTTCCCGTCATAAACAGGACTAGAAAGCTAAGAGGACAATTTGCCTGCGGTTAGCTTGCTGCTCCTGATGCTGCTGCTGCTAGGAAACCCAATCAGCAAAAGCAGCAGCAGCAGCAAAGGAGAACCAAAGAATAATGACAGCAACGTTATGAAAAGCAACAGCTGTTCCGCAGGAACAAAGAGTAAAGTAAACAGAAAACGCCTCAGGGCATGCCCTATCAATAATTATTCAAACCTTTCATTTAATTAATGCCACACTATACCAGATGTCCCCATGTACATACATATGTATGTACATACATAGACACGAGTACTTGCATATACATAGCTACTATAAAGATAGAGATGAGGTAATTACTTGGGGTAAAATGGTGCCCGTTAATACTCGTACATATTTGAATTGGCAAATGATAAGACACGAAGTCGTGTTTGTAAAATTGAAGTCATTGAATGATTAAATGAATTACGCTTGTGCTTGCAAGAATTGCGAAATTCAAAAGGTACATAGTACATATGTACATACATACATACATGCATATGCAGCCAATTACAACCGAAGAGGATCATCATTAAATTATTAATAGTTTTATTGCGTGTTATTGCGTTAAGCCAAAAACGATCACAAAAAAGTTCCTCTGCAGAGTAGAGTACAGGAGCATGGGGCCAGCGGTGGGTGGGCGACAGAGGCGCAGTTAGCTAAACGTTGCATTCCTCAATTGGCTTGGCACACGCGCAACAACAACAACAACAATAGCAAGCATGTTACGAGCAATGTCACACATACACCCACAGCTGTTCACACCCGCTAAGCTAAGAGAGTGAAAGAGAACGGGTCAGTCAGGGGGGGTGTTCTCCTCCCATGCATCACGACCATGGCTCTCATCACTAACGCATTTGTCTTTGTTTAGCATTAGTCCGTCACCTATTCACAGGGAGAGAGAACCAAAGAGAGAGAGAGAGACATAAAGACACCAGTGGATGTGTGTGTCTGTGTGTGTGCTGAAAAATAATTTCAAGTTTCGATATCCTTGACATTCGATATCCACTTCCAGCACACATACATACCTACGTGTTGTAGGTTCAAATGCATTGCAAGGGGCAAAGGGTTAATTTTGTGCACGCAATCCACATTTTCAGACGCGGGAGAAAGAGAGCTTTCAACCAATGCAGACATGTGTGTGTGTGTCAGTTTGTGTGAATGTTGGGGCCATTGTTTATATCGTCCATTGCCAAAAGCCACTTGACAAAATCTTAACGAAAAGCAATTTTTTTCGTTTTTTTTTTGTTTGTTTGTGTGGACAAAGAAAACCACAAAAGTTCTCACACACTCACTTAAATTCAGCGAACAGGTGTTACTATAAATACAACACACACAAACACATAAATCCGTATTATATTATATACTACTATATAGTGATTCGATTTTGATCAAAGAGGATGGGGAAGAGATCAATTTCCGTAGGGCTATGCCGTATCAGCAGCGTCTCTATATAAGTGTTTTGTAGTTATAAAATAAAAGTTCATCAACCCACACACAGCTGATCGCTATCGCAGATTATGGGGAAATGTTCTAGGGCATTATCAGAAATAATATTGGGGGAACAGCGTCAGCAGTAGCAGATGAGGAACATCCTTCAATTTTTACAGACAGATAAGAGTGTGTGTTGAAAGCAATGGAACAAAGAAAACATTTGGATGGGGATCATACTCGTATATAAATCCCTATTTACAAGAAATATTCAAAAGTTTCAGTTCACATGGGTGGTATTGGAAGTACAGGGTGAGAGGGGTTGGAGAGGAATTGCAGCATCAATGCCAGCCACCTACTCACCCAAACATTAAAAACCTCCGTTGCACTCTAGAAAATTGTTCTTTTTGGGCAACATTCCCGTTAGGTAAAGCCACAATCGTGCTGCTCTCTTATTGCATTTTGTGAGAGTGGTAGACGAAGGGGGGGAAGGGGCCGCGGCGGGAGGCGAGTGCAGCAAGGCAATTGAGAGAGAATGTCACTTTTAATGGAAACGTTGACGTGCGTTTTAATTTGTAAAAATGATACGAATATTTAGTGTCAACCGAATGCAATTGTTTTTGCGTTTGCTTTGAATAAGTATTTTGGAAACAAAGAAGCGACGAGAGGGAGAGAGAGAGAGAGCAAGAGCGAAAACAAAAACTTTAACGCACACAGGCTGATGCACACACAAGCGCAATGCCATTCTCAGCTGCAACGAAATGTTGTTTGCTTCACTCTCTCCCACCCGAAAAATCTACCAACCATCTCTCTCACAACCTGCCAAAAGCTCAGCGTCGCACTGTGGGACAAATGCTGTATAAATGCTAAACACCCAGTGCGAACTAAATATTGAAAAACTTAATCATACCCAAACACCCACTGTGCGCCAACATGTGTTCCACTATCAGTTGTTGCTGCAAAATGTACACTTGATTTTTATTGTTTGTGAAACTTCTCGTTTGTTTAAAATTAGTGCCCTACAGCCAGTTGAAACTAGATTTTCGAAAACTGAACGGTTTTACACTTTGGCTTGACTTATCATACCTACAGTGCCGAAATGTGTTCCACTATCAGTTTGTTTCATATATTTATTTTCCGTTCGTTTCCCACTGCCTTGTTGTCTGTCTAATGCGCACCAATATTCCCCACTTCTTCTCACACTAACCAACGCTTATATGTATGTATTTGTGAGAAAAACAAAAAGTGAGAGAAAGAGAGAGGTGGAGTAGTATTTTACCCTTATTGTTTGTGTTTTGATATTTCCATTTTTTGTTTTTGTTTTTATTTAAAGACAAACAAAATTTCCACTACTTTTGACATTTAAATAATTTGCAAAATAACTCATGCTCTCTCTATCACATCGCTCGCTGGGTTGTTTTCTATTTTGCAATTCTCTCTTTGTTTGCACAATTTACTGTTGTGTGTGTGCGAGTGTAAAATGATTTCAAAAACAATTGCATAAAATTGTTTTCTCTGCTTTTATTTGCACATATTATTATTATGTATGTTGCTCCATTACATATGTAAAATGAGTCTTCTCCTTCTATCTCTATTATTCTTTTTGCGCCTCAAACAAAAAAAAAGAAGAGCACACACACACGCGCGCACACTTACCCCGCTCTTCTTGCCTTGTGGTGTTCCGTTGGTCTGAATCAGCAGCCAGGCACTTGGCACCGTTCTCTCTTGTTCCCCTCTTTCTATTCGCTCGTTCCCTTTCCACTTGTTCCCCGCAACGACAACAGCAGAGCGCGCGCAAAAACAACAACACAAACAAAAATCATATGTTTTCAGCTGCTGCTTCTCCTACCTCTCTCTGCGCTGCTGTTTCTCTTGATATTTTACTTATTTGTTGATGTTCGTTGGAGGGGGTGCGATGATAGAGAGAAGAGATGATGGTGTCTCTTTGTTGGTCTTGTTGTGTTTGTTATCTTCCGTTATTGCAGGCGGACAGCGGCAGCAACAATCCAAAACTGCGTCTTGAATTTTTTTTTTTTTGGGGTGCTGCAGAGTGGGGAGTGCCTGCGTCACTAACGACACGCCCACCGTTAAATGCTCGGTACGTGTGTGTGTGTGTGTGTGTGTGGGAGGGAAACACACAAGGTGATCTTTTTTCTGTTCTTAAGCGCAGACAGAAGTCAAGCTTAGAAACAAACTTTCAACTGCAAAGCGCTTGAAGTTTTTTAAATTGTGTCAAAATCGTTGTTGTCGTCGCTGCCACTGCCGCCGTCGACGCAGAGCCCTATTGCTCGCTCTCTTGCACACACGCGTAGCCTCGCACTATGGCTTTCTGACTATCCTGCTCTTGCACACACACACACACACACACACGCAGCGGTTGCGTCGTACGTTTTTCGTTTATGATTTTTTGTTGTTGCTGCCTCAGCTGCTGCTGCTGTTGTTGTTTCTGCTGCTGTGGCTTTTGCTATTGCTGTTTCGTTCTAGCACACAAATTAACTGCGACATTAAATCTGTACTTTTTGTTGTTGCGTTTTGTTTTCTGTTGCTTTGCCTTGTTTACGTTGTTCGTTATGCCGTTATTTATCGATTTCACTTCTGCGTTGCGCTGCTGCTGCACCAACAACACAATAAAAAATCCTCCAAACAAAAAACAAAAAAATTAACTTTTACTTATGCAAAATATATATGTACATATATTTGGCCAGCCTTTCTGCTCTTCCAAGGATATTCGTCTTTTAGTTCTAGTTCTTTTGTGTAACCTCTTTTGCACTTTACACAATTTATGTTATTATTTTGGTCTGGTGTCAAACCATCGAGAGCACTATCGATAGTATCGATATTTTACTGCTAGTCTCTACTATCGACGGTTTTGTGACAATCATGATAGTATCGAGCTACGCTTTTGATATGTTTGGATTGGCTGCTATAAAACACGAAGACAAATTTGTAAAAAATTCGACAGGTGGCATCTAATTTTTACAATGGACAAGTTCCTAAAAGGTTTCAATGGTTTTTTAATAATTATTTCAGCCCGATACTGTCACGATAGTATCGATTGTTTTTTCAAAACATTCAACGTTGATATTCCTCGATTTTGATATTCCGCTTAATATTACTAGCAGGTTGGCCCTCTCAGCCCTAAAAGAGAAATTTTATCTAATTTCTCAATGAATTTTGTTTAGGATTGGCTAGTTTTCAGAACTAGTTTTAATGGGATTGTTGGGATAATAGGGTTCAAACAAAAACGGCCAAAGCATAAAACGTAAATGTTGACTAACTGTGACGTCAGTGTTGCTGGTCAACCAAGCTTCTTCTATGCGTATGTACTTTTGTATACCTTATTTCTTTTAATTGATGTTAAATGTTTTGTTCCAAGCTCCATTAAAGCATTATTTATGATTTGATCCTAGATTGACATGTTTTTTACATATGTTTGCATATATTTGTGTTATATACATACATTTTTCCCGTTTCTGATACCTATTATTGGAACCCGTGAGCTGCAAAATTTCGTTTATATCTTTAAAACAGAGACTGAGTAGTTTCTGCATTAATTGGAGCCTGAAATTACAAACAATATCTCAAGTCCACAATATCCATTTTCCCAGGGTATGCAGACTGTTGCTCATTCCGTGCCAAAGTTGCACAACAATGCTGCTACTTCATTTCCCCATGCTGCTGAATTTTTTCCCATACAAATCAAATGTATCTTACGGGAACGCGTATGGAATGACGCAACAATGAATCTTTATTCCATATGGGAACAATTTCAGCAGCATGTTGCCACACCACGAAAATGAGGGGAAAGTCTCCACAAAAACACTCTATTCTCCACTGAAAAGAGAACAGTCTCCACGAATTGAGAGCGAATTTTGCAAACTCTCCACGAATTGAGAGCAAATTTTGCAAACTCTCCACGAATTGAGAGCAAATTTTGAAAACTCTCCACGAATTGAGAGTGAATAATATCGATATTTTTATGCGATAAGTGGAGTCTGGCGGTCATTTTGAAGCGTATCTTAATATATAAACAAATAAATTGGAACTTGATTAAATAATATACCGTAAGTATTCTGAAGGACACGAAAAGATGCGTTGATATTCCTAATATTCAGTTTACTATTACCAGCTAGCTGGGACTCTCAGCCCTAAACAAATAATTTTATCCGATAGATACATACATTTTTTAAGAGATTGGCAAGTTTTCAGAAGTCCTTTTTATTGGATTATTTACATATTAAGGTTCAAACAAAAACAACATAAAACGAATTTGTCGTCGTTTTGTGGCGTTGCCAGACTCGTGCAATTCGTAGTTGCTGCGGGCTGCCATACCGTGATATTTTGTGATATGAAATTCGTCAATTTTGATATTCAGTTTAATATTACTAGATAGTTACATAAATTTCCTTCAGGATTGGTTAGTTTTTAGAACTCTTTTTCATTGGATTGTTTACATATTAAGGTTCAAACAAAAACGGCCAAAGCATAAAACTTAATTGTTGACTAAATGTTCCGTCAGTGTTGCTGGTCAACCAAGTTTATTCTATGCGTATGGATTTTTGTATACCTTATTTCTTTTAATTGATGTTAAATGTTTGGTTCATGCCCCTCGTTGTGCTAACTCCCCCTGGACAATACAGTCGCAGAGTATAACTATAAAGGTATTATGGAGAGGTGGCAGTTCGTGGTGAAAAAATACTAGAATTGGATGTTTGTGTTCGGTATTTTTAACGACTGATTTGTGGAAACATATCGCAGATAGTTATATTAATTTTATTTGTTCGGCTTTTGGTTATTTAAATTAAAATTATAGCTGCAACTTCAATATTTCAATAGCAATAGCTACATTCCTCTGCCATCCATACCATCTCTGGCCAAGCTCTAGCTGCCAGGGTGACCGTTTAGGGTATATTATAGGATATTTTTATGTCGAAAATGAGTTTTACTATATTTTGAAAATGTTATGGTATATTTCTGAGGGTAAGGCGGGTATATTTTATTGATAAATCCGCGGTCACACTGCAGGCTGCATTAGCGGCAAAATAATTTTTTTCCCACGTTAAATTTCGCGTAAAGTTCTGTGGCACAACTATTCAGCTGCGTAGCAGCAGACGGAGCGCAGCTTAGCTTTTCCCCAACAACGGGTTAGTTTCAAACTACGTTTTAAGCTTTAAGTTTCCAAAAGGATTCAAACGCAAGCATCCTATTCGGAATCCACATTTTTTTGTTGTTGTTGTCAAGAATTGATGTGCAAAAAAGTGTGTGTGCTTTCGTGTGTTTTTGGTGTTTTGGTGTTTTTCGGCAAAAAGAACAAGAAAAGTGTCCAAAATTATAGAACAGGAATTTTTTTTTATTTGGGTCAAATCTATTTATTTATATACGAAAACGTATATGCAATATATCTGCGTGTGTATGCGTGCTATCATCCGTTTTTTTGCGGTCCTTTTTCTTTCTATACTTTCATTTCGTTTCTATTGCTGTTGCTTTTGTTGTTGAAAACGCACGCGCCTCTTTGTATTTTTTGTGTGTGTTCTTACTCTGCTGCTGCTGCTGCTGATGTTCCAACTACGCCACCCACGCACCCACCCCTACCCACCCACGCCGGCGAAACTTATTCAATTTATTTATAAATGTTCATTTATACTAAAGAAAACAGCCAAACAACAAACAAACGTCAATAAGTCTTTAAACAAAATAAAAAGAATGCAAACAAAAAAAAATAAATAAATACTTGTCAGCGGCAGTGTGTGTTTGCACATATTCGTTTGTGTATGTGTGTGTGTTTGTGACCTTCGTGCAATCATTTTGGTTGGGTTGGTCGAGTGTTCCAATTAGAATCGAATCTCTTGCAATCTCTCCCTTGCAGAATGTGCATCCCGCCCCAACAACAACAAAAAAAGGAATCGCCAAGAGCAGCAAAAAGTTACAAGCAAAAGAGGTGGGCGAGTGGAACAAGAAGAAGGACCAAGCGAGAGGTGTCGAGCAGTGGCAATAAGAAAGTGGCTCAAAAAAGCAAGTGCATCGAAAAAGAAGTGTGGAGAGGGTGGAGAGCATAAGGAAAGAACTCAGAATCCTCGGGGTTTGTAATGCAATCAGCGTGTCCAGGTGTCAGTCCATTATGTTCCATATGTTTGTGTTCTTGTGGCGAGGTGGCCCCGGGATGCACTTTGCGCATAATTGAATTTCCTCTGCTGCAGCAACAAGCTTTTACGCAGTCCTTTTTACATTTCCCCCCCACCCTCTTCCGTTATACATATTGTATGTTGTCAGATGGAGTCCTCTACTACAGTTAAAGATACACTCCTGGCTGTCAGTTGGAAATGCACTGATGATTCTCTTACTCTTTTTGATCCTCAATACTTTCTCTTTAGAATCAAGTTTGAGACGAATTTCGAATCTCTTTAGCAGCACTTAATGAGGCTTTCTCCTATCCGTTTCACAGTTGCAAATCCACTGATTAGATTGCAATGATCGGATGAACTTCTCTCTCTCTCTCTTTCCGTTACAGTCACATTTAATGGCTGATCCGTTACTCTTTTTTTTACAGTTCCACTTATAAAAAGTTCGTTTCCCCTCGTTTTTCTTTTGTTCTTTGGACTAAAGTGCTCTTCTCCCTTATACTCCGTATCCCTACAGTTTTTCCAAATTACATTTTTATTTTTACTTATCATCAGATCACGATAATTTCCCCTCTTTTCCCTATCATACGCTCTGCGCTCTCTTTCAGTTGACAAGAGCCCAGCCACCAGCGCCACAAAGTGGGATCCCAGAGGCAGAACAGCCGCCGCACTGTGTTAATAATATTGTAGCCACGACAAACACCTCACACATACACCACATCAGCACACCCCGCAGCAGACACCGCACGAAGCAGAAGCAGTAGCAGTAGCACCCACAACCGCAAACGAAACTACAGCCAGAGATACAGATAAAAATACGTTCTCTTTTAGCCAATAAGTCTAGTCAACAATTAGACCAAATGAGCACGCACCTCGAGACTAACAAGCAGCACAAACTAAGCCAAAAATAAAAGGAGAGTAAACACAGACACACTCACGTACCCACAGAGAGAGTAGAGACACCCCCACACACAGAGAAAGAGAGAGCCAGAGCACAGATAAATAGTGAATAGAGGAAGCGACTAACATAAAATAAGGAGGGACAGGGAAGAGCGACTGACTCCCACAGACAGAGAAAGAAGGAACGGAGAACCAACAGAGCAGAGCAAGGGGAAAGACAGATCCACAGATCTGAACCTATGGATAAAGGAAGATAGAGAGAGAGAGAGAGACTCCCACACGAGGCATAGAAAGAGATTGAAATAAGCGTAAGAGAAGGAGCTTTCTCCCAAAGAGAGATCAAGATCAGAACACCCCCATACACACACAGACAAACGGAAGAAAGCAAATTCCACCAAGATGCGGGTCGTGGCCATGGTCAGTGGCGGCAAGGATAGCTGCTACAACATGATGCAATGCGTTGCCGAGGGCCATGAAATCGTCGCCTTGGCCAATCTCCATCCCAAGGACAGAGGTGAGACCCAGACCCAGACCCCATTAACGCAACATTTACCATGAAATATGCCCACAACTGATTATTGACTGATACTAACTCCCGCTATCTATTCTCCCGCCTCTTATCCCTCTCTCTCTCTCTCTTGGCTCATCCGCAGATGAGCTGGACAGCTTTATGTACCAGACAGTGGGCCACATGGGCATCGAGATACTGGCCAATGCCATGGGACTGCCCCTGTATCGGCGCGAGACCAAGGGCAAGAGCATACAGACGGGCAAACAGTATGTGCCCACCGACGATGACGAGGTCGAGGATCTCTACAGTCTGCTGGAGACATGCAAGGTGATTGATTGATTGATGGATGCAGGATGGGAATGGGAATGGTGAAGAGGAGCTCGTCTCCCACTTTGTTGTGCACAGATTGAGTGCAGCGATGCCCACCCTTTGGTGGAGCTGAACGAACTGCAGTTGATTGTTGACAGCACAGCTATACCCTAGAGTAGGTCAGGGCTTACACCGCAGGGCTATAAGTGGGAATCCTTAAGCTCTGAGCTATCCATTTTGGGATTGTAAAGATGTAAGAGCAGCCGATTTGCAGGATTATTCCCTTAATCAACAATATCAGATATCAGATACCTAAAGTAAAAATGGGGCCAATCTCTCAATTATTTCATTTATAAACATTTTTCTCTTTGATCATCTGGTAGACGGCACCTTATGATTTATATTGTTTGGATTGTAATTTAAGTCACATTTCAATGGGAAAGAGATAAACAAAAGTCGGCAAGCGTTTGAAATCGGATGAATTGTTTGTCGTACGATTTTTTAAGATTTTCCTTGCCGTAACTGTGTGGCAGATTGCAATGGGGGAAAACAGATGATCTTTTATGAATATCTAGGCTTCAAATTACGTGCAAAACCAGTGTTCCCTTTGTTCTGTTTACAGAATGGAAAAATCTATGCAGCTAGTATTAGTAGTTGGAAGGGTCAGATTACTTCGTAGAAAAACTACAAACGCACCATACCCACCGGAAATCTATACGACGGCTGGATAAGTTTATTGTGCAAGGCATTTGATTTCAATTTAATTTTAGCTAGATAGACAAAGTCTAAAACTTAAACTAACCTGATTAGGAGTTAGAACTGTATCCTCTTTATGGGTATTGTTTATTATTATGTCATGTCCTTAAGTGCACCCCCGTTATTCGTGGGTGCAAGTGTAACAACAACAATAACAGCAGATAACAGATAAGAGCAGTAATTGGATGGAATACTCGTATTGAGTTGCGGAAAGTCGTTTTGCCTTTGCCGCTAATCTTATCTCTCTCGATTCGCGGGACTATCGCGCAGCGGAGCCAAGCTGTTGTCGTGCACGTGAACATAAACAATAATAATAATAATAGTAATATTATAGTATTATAGATAGAGGAAGAGTGGCAGTGGCAGTGGCAGTGGGCAATGAACAGGAGGGAGATAGTTGGAATTTTGTGTTGCATTTAGTATAATTCACTTCCCCCCTTCCTCCCCTCTCACGAACTAGCACGAACTTCAGGTGGATGCCGTGGCGGTGGGCGCCATCCTGTCCGACTATCAGCGCGTGCGCGTCGAGAATGTGTGCAGCCGCCTTGGTCTGATATCGCTGGCCTACCTGTGGCGGAGAGACCAGACTGAGCTGCTGCAGGAGATGATCGACTGCCAGGTGCATGCCATTATCATAAAGGTAAGCCATTAAGTGGTGGCCGCTGGCACAGCTCCTATTTCTCCATTCCGAACCCACATCCGCTTGGTCGACAGGTGGCTGCCCTGGGACTGGTGCCGGACCGTCATCTGGGGAAATCGCTGCGGGAGATGCAGCCGCATCTGCTCAAGATGCGCGACAAGTACGGTCTGAATGTGTGCGGCGAGGGCGGTGAATACGAGACCTTCACGCTGGATTGCCCGCTCTTTCGGCAGCGCATCTCCGTTGAGGACTTCCAGACGATCATCAGCAGTGCGGACCCCATCTGCCCGGTGGGATACATCAATTTCACGAAGCTAACACTCCAGCCAAAGGAGCCGGGCAGCTCGTCCGCCGGCGGCGGTGGTGGCGGCGGCAGCGGCACTGATGTTGTCTTTGTCAAGCGCTCCCTCGACTATATCAGCGACCTCAACGAGTCGACGTACAGCGATCTGAGTGATCCGGACTTCAGCGAAACGGAACTGGAGCTGATCGAGAAGGAGACGCGTCTGCGGGAATCGCTCAGCCAGAACGAGCTGATATCGCGCAGCAACTCGTTCGGGCGCCACCTGGCCACGTCCGCCTCCTCGCCCATACCCATTGTCACGAAGAGCGCCAGCGTCGACGAGCCCATACCGACGGCCAATTCGGCGGCGGCATCCACTGCTTCCCTCATGCTGCTGACAGCGGCGGCATCGTTGGCCAACAATAATCAATCGGCCACCTCGGCCTCGGCCAGTGCCCTGGGTTTAAGCGGCAGCTACGCGAGCAGCACCCAGGGCAATCCGCTCGGCAGCAGCACGGCCGCCGTATGCGGCTCGATGTCGCTGGCCATCTCCTCGCTTGGGCTGAGCGCGACCACATGCCATAATCCGTCTGGAGCTGCTGGGCCAGGGACAGGGCAGGGGCCAGGAGCTGGCGGCATTAGCAGTGTCATGACACAGCCGCCGAGTCCAATGAAATACGAGAGAGAGTTCCGTCCATTAGCGAACGAGGCCAGAGCGGCCATCAATGCCAAGGGCTGGATGTGGCTGGCCGGCATACAGGGTATCATATCAATCTCCTTCTACCTATCCACCCACCCCCATATCATTTCCCCCACCCCACCCCGCCTTATCCCACTGCTGTACCAATTGTGATTTGCTAATCTGTTTCCGCTTCTCCCCCTGCCACAGGCTGCGACTCTGAGGGCATGGAGCAGGGCATGCAGAGGGCCCTCGACATATTGCAGGCACTGTGCACGAGCAAGGGCTACGACCTGCAGGATCTATGCTACATTACGCTCTATGTGCGCTCCATTGCCGAGTATCCGGCATTGAATCGGGTCTACATGAAGGCCTTTGACTTTCACAATCCCCCGACACGCGTCTGTGTGGAGTGTCCCTTGCCCGATGGCTGTCATGTGGTGATGGAGGCGATTGCCTATCGCCAGACAATTGGTCTGGCCAATACGGCCCATATGACAGTCGAGGAGCGTGATCGCGAGGGCGAGGAGACGGCCGCTGCGCTATTGAATGGCCGCCGCAGCACCATGCATGTGCAGGGCATATCCCACTGGGCGCCTGCCAATATAGGACCCTACAGCCAATCCACAAGAGTGAGTCGAATCGTGTCGAGGTCCCTCTTTGATCAATCATTAACGAATGTCCATTGGCCCTTGCCCCTTTTGCAGATTGGCGAAATCACATACATTTCGGGACAAATCGCCCTGGTGCCGGGCAGCATGACAATCATTGAGGGTGGCATACGACCGCAATGCAAGCTAACGCTGCGGCACATCAGTCGCATTGCCAAGGCCATGAATGCCCATGGGCAGCTGCGCGATGTGGTCCATGGCATTTGTTTTGTTACCCATCCCGCGTTCATTGGCGAGGCGCGACGTCAGTGGGAGCGGCGTACCACAAATGCCATTATGGACTACATTGTGCTGCCCGCCTTGCCTAGGGAGGCGCTTGTCGAGTGGCAGGTCTGGGCCCATACCCACAACGATCGCTTTGACTGTAAGTGTCTGTGTGTGTTTTGTTTTTTTATCTGTCCAGTTATCTGATCCCGGTATACAATTTGCATTTAGATGAGGAAACTGGCTGTTCGGTTAGCGATTATACCATCTCGATACGTCGCCGCTGGAACTATGAGAACAATTGTGCGGCCATTGTCTGCTATGTGTCCACCGGCCTGGCCTCGTCCACCACACAGTTGACGCAGCTGAGCGACGATATACTGGGCAACCATTGCCGCGTGGCGCAGTCGGTCAGTGCGGAGCATATGGATGAGATTCTTACGTACATTGTGAATCGTTTGCTCAAGGATTATCCCATTGCCAAGCTGAAGCAGCAGCCGCCGCCAGCACAGGCTGTCAGCGAGACAGTGGGCGGGACACCGCCCTCAACGCCATCGCTGCCCGGTGGGGCTGGTGGGGATCAGCAACAGCAGCAGCAACAGCAACAACAGCAACAGCAGCTGCAGCAATCACAGCAGTCACAGCATCAGAAGCCAGCGATACATCTGAAGCTATTCTATCAGGTGAATGCGGCCCCACCAACAGAGCTGCTGCTGCAGTCGCTGCATGACTTTCGGCTCAAGTGCCAGGATATGGCCACTATTGTATACACCGTGCTGCCGGCGTGCAGTTTGCACAACTTTAGTACGTTCCTGTCCATATGCGGTGTTAGGCATGAGTAGGAATTGGGGAGGAGTAGGAGATGGAATGAGAGTTGGTAAAGGAAACAATTTGCTGCCACCGCACTAAACAGAATTATATATATATACATACACGACTATACATATATATATATTATATGTATAATGGATATGTGTAAGCAGCTTGCCGTGTCGCCGCTTGCTTCTTTTAGTTATCCAGCGGATGCCGCATGCTGTCTATATTTTATCTCCATCACACACACACACACACACAGACACACTCACACCAAAAATTGTTTCGGACCAAAACAGAGGAAAGCCACATGCTTGGAAAATTGAATTGGGATAAACGGATCTATGCAACTCAAGAGTTTCAGCAAATTAGCAACAACAACAAAAAAAAAAATTAAAATAAAATCATTAAAAGAATTCAAAAATTAATTGTACAAGCAGAACCAGCAAAACAAAATACAAGAAGAAAGGAAAGGAACAGAACGGAACGGAACAGAAAAGCGCCACACACTTTTTGTGCACTCATATTGCCCAGAACTGTAACTGTAACTGTAATTGTACTCTTATATATATACATATAACGTATTAACAACTGATCGTTTTTCGATGTGCTTTTCCCCTCCATGCCCGCCTCCCCCCCTCCCATATGCTCCAACTTTTATACATGTGTGTATACATTCTATGTCTAACTCATTTTCAATTAGCAAAAACTTTTTGACCAAAAAAAAAAAAAACAAAACAAAAAACATAAGAAACAAAATGAAACGAAGATATTGTCGTTGAGCTTTAATGAAGAACTATTTCTATATGCATATAATGTCTGGCCGATTGGATGATGATTGGTGCCCACCCCCCCTCCTCTCCCCCCACACCGATTGGACCATGTCCATTCCACTTTGACTATCCCATAATAATATTTGTCCAGAAAACGAAAACAAAAAGAAGAGGGGACTCGCGCGAATCAAGTAAAAATTTGCCATAGATAAATTACATTTTGTTACACACTTTTTTTTATAAATACATACATACATACATATATATATTATTATGCGATTAGATACCAAAATTAACGAATAGAGATTATTGAATGTGTTTTCTTGTGGCTGTAGCTATACCTTGTCCTGCACTCTACCCACAAAAAGAAAACTGAATGATATGATACGCCCCCCTCTCACACACAACACACACGTATGATAATGGAAATTGAAATGGTTTTTGGGGTTTGGCAAGAACCCCGACCAGAGCTTGGCAACAGATACTTTTTTGGTCAAGAGTGGGGGGTGGCGATTGACGATGCTGATTCGTCATTGGTCTATGATTATTACATGCTCTATGTATTGTTATGAAAATATATTGATATTGATTGAGTGTCATTACAAAAGTCAAGAAAACCAAAGGAAATTCTGGTCGTTTTATTTGCGGGCACAGTTCACTCCCGAGCTGCTCTGGCGGTTTCGTGAATGTTCAAGAGAATTCCCAGAGACAACCAGTCCAACATCTTATCGCTTCAAATATGTATGCGAATTATTCTGCACTGATTTGAATAAAACGGAATGCCTAAAAAATGTTGAATGTCTGAAAATATCTAAAAGAATGCCAAGATTTTAAAATGTCTCTAAATGGAAAGAAATATTTGAAGATTTTAGTTTAAAGAGAGAAGTTTGAGTTTAATAAATCGCAAAAGTATTCTGCATTTTTAGTTAAAATATGAAAAACAAAGTAATGCAAGACAAAGGGGCTATACAGTTTTGAGAATTGTGGGAAAATTTCAGAATATAATAGTAATAGCAATTGCAATATGTACATATACCCGAATTCTAGGGACATTTCCTTTTTCTATTCCATGACAGTTTTGAAATTTTCCCAGTAAAATGCTAGCGGTAAATAATATCACGCTGCTGCCCTAGAGTAACGGTAAACATAAATATGCGATCAGCCCGATAGCGGTGCCTGGCAACAATTCTTCTGTAAACATCATCATCGTAGGATAAAATTTGGGCAATGTACACGTCAGTAATCGCGTCTGTCAGAGTCTTGCCAACGGTAAACAGATATTTGCATCAGGCAAACATCGGTTTCACCTCCATTCGGCAGCCGAATCACGGCCAGCCATCCCAATCCACCCTCCCCGCTCGCACTATACGAAACCGAAAATGTTTGGCTAAACATTTGGAGAGGAAAGTGGTTCGCTCTCTCGCTTTCGTGCTCAATGGCGAACTTTCCAGTGGGTGGGGCGGAGACGACGCCGCCACCGCCAATCACATCTGCTGCATGCACTGACGTGTCGCACCACGTCATTGTGGCGCCGCATAAATAGCCTGCGTCGCGGAGAGCGAGAATCAGTTTCAAAACAAACGTCAGCGGAATACAACATTAAGCACAAGAGACAAAAGACGCGACAAAATCGTTCCATTGGAATCACAGAAATAGTGCGATCAAAATACAAGAAAATTCCAAAAAAACAAAAGAAAACTGTGACTAAATCATACCATTTACAAACAAAATATAATTCCATTAATTATATGAAACCAAGCCAAAAAGACAACAAAGAATAAACCACTTAGTAACGGAGCGCAACAAAGTGACAATTAATTTATAATATTTTTTTTTGTGCAGCAATTAGTTTAATTTAGAAAAAGTAAGTACGAGCGAAATCAGTTTTTTGTTTGAAAATCGGTTTGTACAAACAGACGTTCTCCAATACTGCTTCGACGCAGTTTTGCACTGACGTGGCCCAAAGCTGTATGTGTGTGTTTGTATGTACATATTCATGTGTGCCTCCATAAAAGGTGCCGGCACAGGAGTCAGAGAACAGAGTTATGTTTTAAAACTCCATAATGAGTATAAAGTCAGGTTTATTTGGAGCATCTGGCTGGTTTTATACAGTACAATTGTTCATATTTTCAAAATATTTCGTATATAAACATTTATATATCGATATTAGCCGGATTAAGTCAAGAGAACTATCGATTGTCGGTTCCATTCTTCGGTAGCATATGGATTACACAAATTTGAATACAAAACAAATAATAATAAGTTTTAAATTGAAAACCGAATGATATGAGGTCGAAAACGCTTTGTTCTGTATGATACATATGTTAATACACCCCTCTCTGAGGATAAATATATAAGCCCCTCGATAGTGCAGCACTGCAATCGATAGTTCTCCACCCACACCTACTAGCCGGCACGTCAGAATTTTAGAAATAGTTCATCGGAAACAGTAATAGGCTTAACTCAAGTTGCTCACCTGTCTAAATAGAGCGGTATTAGGTGAGTTAAGTTCGTCTCCTCGGTATATTTACGGTATATTTTGAAAATGAGAAGGTATATTTCGGTATATTTCTGAGGGTCGACAATATATGCTATCGATAATTCCGGTTCACACTGAATAGTTAATCGCAGGCAAAGGGTTCAGTTCAACTTTTAAGCGAAAATCAACTCATGTAAGTCTTAAAATTGCAATTTCTCAGTGCGAAAACTAAATAAGTGCAATAGGAATAGTGCTTATAATAAAGGAGAAATTGCAGACGGACAGCTGCAGTTCTGCCGCCATGTTGGCAAAAGGTGGCCCTGGTCCCTAAAAAAATTGCCACAGCAGCAGCCTGCAGGAAAACCAACACGTGCCCACAAATGATATATTTTGTAGAAATAGGCAAAGCCTGACTTTCGTTGCATTGCAACATATGCAGCTAACATAAACATATTTTTATTCGAGTATTCCGGCCGCTCCGGCTCTATGACGTGTGGCATTCCTGGCCGTGCTGTGCATAATTTACCAATTTATGCGCAAAGCCATGAATAGGCAGGCCTCTGGCGTCCGTTGGTGACGCATAAATTACATTGGCATAAGTTATTAACAAATTAGCCACAAAGTTCATTCACAGTTTGCACTTTGCAACTGTTCACATTCCATTTGGGCATGTCTGGAAACTCTGTGACGCAGGCAACCCCACTGACGGTCCCTACTTCCATATTTCTCGTCAATTGTTGTACCCAAACTCCTGTGGGCCGGCTACTGTATTCTTAATCAATTTTCTCAGAAAATAAGTATAAATTGTGATATTAATATTTGATCTGAATAGACTAGAGCGCCTGCGCTAACTTTATCGCTGTCTCTGCCGCTCCTCCTGCTTCTTCTGTCTGGCTATGTTGTGTGCGTCCATGCATGTATGTGTGTGTGTGTATGCCATTCAATCAGCTTTTTACACGTCATTTATAGCAGATTTAAAGCTTCCTCCACACATTGTGATCCGGCTCCCTCTCTTTGCTAAAGTACACGTCAGTGAAAAAGTAAAAGAAAAAAAATTGGTAGATAAAGCAGTCTGTGAGAGAGCGTGAGAGTAATAATAAAACAGCTGTGCAAATTCATTTTGTTAGTGGGCTTTGCCGGCCACAGAGACTTTCACCACATGAGTGTGCGTTTATTAGTGCAAATACATACTTTAAATACATATATACCTAGTTCTTATAGCACGACGTTTTTAGAAGAATAAAAAGAAACCAGTTTGACGCTTTCTTTGTTGCTCTCGCCGCTCACCAAGAGCCGGCTACTACTCTCCCCCTCTATCTCTGTCTCTCTCTCTCTCAGTCTGCGCTTGGAGATTAAGCAACAGAAAGAACCAGAAAAATGTTACACGTATACAAAAAAGTCGCCCCCCAATGTTACTGCGCTGCTTGCGTTGACGTTGGCGTCGGTCAATGTCAGTGCCGGCAGCAGAGAGGGGCAACACACGTCTTGAACAGCGCCTTACAGTTTACAGTTGTTGGCCAGTTAGCCTCCGAAGCAGACGTGTGTCTTGTTAATAAGTACCCGCATCGTTTCCATCGCTCGAAATATTTCAGGTAGAGACAGAGTGTGCCATATAGGAAGTGTACCATAAATTCTTATAGGCCGTCACTGACGTCGCCGTCGCTCAGTGCTTAAGTAGGACACCTAACGGTACCTGTTGACACTTGTTGAAATCGACATCGACGTCAGCAATTTTATTCTCTCTCTGTGCCTAGCATGCCTGCGTGCGTGTATGTGTTTGTGTGCCATCTAGTCAGTGTGTTGACGTGTACAAAAGTCAAGCTTTAGGGAATTATTCAAATAAATACTAATCGCAGATTATTTTCACTCTCTGTCGCTTTCAGTTTATTTTGAAGAATCTTCAAGATGAGGTTATGTATATTATTGGCTGTGGTGGCCTTTGTCGGCCTCTCGCTGGGCGAGGAGAAGAAGGAGAAGGACAAAGAACTGGGCACCGTTATTGGCATTGATCTGGGAACCACATACTCTTGGTAGGTATTCCATATTCCTCGTTAAAGCCTAATTCGTTATGTCCTCATTCCAATTCCATCCCATTCCAATTCCAATCGATCGTTACTTATGGCCTCCTTTTGTCCTTTCCACTTATGCAGCGTTGGCGTTTACAAGAATGGACGCGTCGAGATCATTGCCAACGATCAGGGTAACCGTATCACTCCCTCATATGTGGCCTTCACTGCCGACGGCGAGCGTCTGATTGGTGACGCCGCCAAGAACCAGTTGACGACAAATCCAGAG